CCCTGGTCTAGTCTCAGACCTAGTGCTCTGTCGGTGACTCAGGGCTTTATGGTGATGATGTTAACAGGTGCTCTTACTGCAGGCCAGGTACCATGCTCGTTTTCTAACTTTCTATTGAAGTAATATGCAAAGAGAGAGAGCAACCTCCAGTGTAGAGCTGGATGAATTTTTTCAGTCTGAACCCCAACACTGTTCAAATGATGGGAAATTACCAGCACCCCAAATTTGTTCTCAGGCTCGGTTCCAGTTCCTGACCCCTTCAAGGTGAATGTCTCACAGCACAGATTACTCTCACCTGCTTTTGTCCATTTTCTAAACGGGATCCTCCAGCCTGTTATGTCGTGCCCAGCTTGCTTTATTCAGCGTGCTATTGTGGCCTGTGGTTCTAGGTGCTCACTCCCACTGATGAGTAGGATCCCATTGTGTGAATATGCCACGATTTACTCATCTATTCTCCTGCTGACGGGCATTTGGGTAGTCTCAGTGGGGAGGTGTTGCAAACGGTGCTGCTGTGAGCAGTCTAGCATGTCTTTTGGTAAAGTTCTTCTTATAGATGTGTCCCGGGAGTGGGATTTCTGGCCGTAGGGCACATGTACTGTGGTGAGCTATGTTTACACACGAATTCCTCATGTCCACGCTGTGAGGGAGGCATCCTCAACCCCTGTGCACCCAGCTCTGGAGCCAGACCCACCCTCCTCCACGGGCCCTGAAAGAGCAAAGGGAGGAAAGGCCAACGGGCACAGTGGTGAGTGGGGGCCTGGCTTCGATGTTTCCTCACTATTGACTACACTATACACTGAGTGGCCAGATTATTATAATCTCTGGATGCATAATACTCTGACCACTCACTGTATGTGCGCGCGCGCGCGCGCGTGTGTGTGTGTGTGTGTGTGTAGTATATCTCTATATCTATATCTATATCTATATATCTATATATCTATATACCCTATATGTCTATATCTATCTATCTATCTATCTATCTATCTATCTATCTATCTATCTATAGAGAGAGAGGCCCAGTGCATGAATTTGTGCACGGGTGGGGTCTGGTCAGCCTAGCCAGGGGGAGGGGACATGGACAGTTGGCCGGCCTGCCTGCTGGCTGAACTCCTGGTCAAGGGGACAAGTTGCCTATTAGCCTTTTATTATATAGGATATACACTGAGTGGTCAGATTATTATGCATTCAGAGATCATAATAATCTGGCCACTCAATGTACTTTTTCTTAAGAGACCTATTGTCTTGGAAGATGTCTGCATACCAAGCTACCAAGCAAATGCCCTTCGCTCATTTAACTCATATTCCAATTCCTTTATTAGTCAAAGACATATCTAACCACAAAGCAGTGCATGTGACCGCCAGCATGACAGAACACATGTAATTTCAGGTAAACTGAAAGGAAATCCAGGTTTGGGTTCATCTCTGTGGCCTCCCCACTAGCACACAGGGTTCCTGTTGGGCTGTCGAAGCACCAACAATATGCTGCCCTCCCCTTTGTGATGGAGACCCCCTTCACTAAGGAACGTGGAGGCCCAGGGGTGCCTGGAAGTCTCTGGTTTACGATCAGTTCATTAATGCACAAGTCATTTGAGACCATCATTTTAAACAATGTTTCACAGTCCCGTCCATTTAACTTTGGGCTTGTTCTTAAGCTGAAGTAGATGATATGAAGGTAGGTAGGAAGGTTTTCCAAACCGCCAGCAAGTGGCAGGAAGACCCCAGGCTGCTGCTAACATGTGGGTGCACTTGCTTCTTCCAATTTGTGTCTCTGTCCTCCATCTCCATCTGTGTGTGTGTGTGTGTGTGTGTGTGTGTGTGTGTGTATGGTGTGTATATTGCATATACATATATATATATATTTATATATATGTGTGTGTGTGTGTGTGTGTGTGTGTGTTAGAGTCACAGAAAGAAATATATTTTAATCTCTATAAACAAAATTAGGATTCCACTGCATCTTATTTTTTATCAGCATTTTCTCATGTGATTAAAAAAAAGTAATTTCAAAATGTGATTTAAAAAAAAAATGCCTTTTGGTATTCCATCCCACGCAATACCAAGATGAATTTAACTAATTATCTATTTGGGGACATTTAAGCTGCTTTCAATATGTTGCCATTGCAAATAACACTGCATGAATATGCTTGTTATCTTTCTCCATCCTTGGAGACAGCTCCGATACTTTTCAGAGGTTAAATGACAAGACGTGGATTAACCCTCCACATGGGTTGGCTTTCGGGTGTTGTCTTTTGAGTCTAATTATCAAATACAACTTGATGCCACTGCCAGCAGCATATGAGAGGATCCTTTTCTGCCAGCAGCTTATGAGAGGATCCTTTTCTGCCCACACTGGTGATTTTCTAATACTTTTGGGCTTAAATAATTTTTCTTTACTTTACAGGTAACACATGAGAGCTTGGTTTAAATGGAATGTAATTGATTCCTGCTGAGGTGAAATATGACTTTAGGTTTGCTGTCCATTTGTGTTTCTCCTTATCTCACAGGTTTCCCCTTTCCCCACAGGGTGCCATCCTAGGCTCAGGCAAGTCCTGTGCTTCCTTCCTTCGCCACAAAACTCACGTCCATCTCTCACAAAACTCGTTGCTGCCAGGTGCTTTGCAAACAGAACATGCATCAGGAAAATGCACACTTGCAAGGTCCGCAGGGGGCCCGGCCGCATCTGTCATCCCTCCAACGAGGATGCCGAGTCCCTCCCAGGGCTGTAAACCTCATATCTCCCCCTCCCCCCCCCCTTCTGCACACCACTGCCCAGGCCGTCAGGGCCTCCCAGCTTCCCCAGGTTTTACACGATGGCCTCCAAGGAAGGGATCCCCATCGCTTTGAGGAAGCAAACAACCATAAATCAGGTACGGATGTGGTGTGACTTATTTATCCTTGTGAGAGTTTTATGTTCTGAAGTCAGCAAGGGACTCGTAGCTGATCTGTGGCCAATTTGCCGTCATCTCTTTGGGGAAGCTCAGTCCCCTTGCTCAGCGGGATGGCATGTGCCCGGGCTTACAGGAGCCAAGGCACCCCACAGGGCACAGGCCCGGTCGTGTATCTTGGTCTGGACCTAATGCATCTTCCAGAGCCGTGACAGGAAGCCACCGAACAGCGGGAAACAACTCCTCGCTGTGCTGGAACTGCTCTCTGGCCCCTCCCCGGTTCTCCCTCCTCAGGCGGGAATGTCTGCCTGGCCGGCAGCTGCATCCTGGTAGACACAAGGGTGAGTCATTTCAGGGCAGAATGACTACCATTTCAGGGTAGAAGAGTGGCTTCCTGGCCTTTGGCTGCTGCTAATTAGCAATCAAGGCCAAGGCTGAACTCAGTGTCCTGCAATGAATTATGTTGCATCCTTAAGAGAGATCACTAGGCAACTATTAAAAACAATGTTTTCAATTTTTTTTTTATACCACTGATCATTGCTCATAACATGAAGTAAAATGAAAGAAAAACATGCAACTCACATACCGAGTATCGCATGTGATCCAAATGATGTAAAAGACTAGCTAGGAATGTTGCAAAATGGTAACCACGATTCCTTCTGCAGGTAAGACTGTGTTTGGGTTTTATGTCCTTGGTTATTATATCTTTAACATTTTCTAAATTAAGTATCTGGGACTTTTATTTTCCATCCCCCTCCAGTTGTTAATATTCTGAACAACCACGTCTGACGTGATCTGCCCCAGGCCTCTGAAGATTGTGCAAGTTCTCATTTGTTGTTCAATTCCATTCTTTCTTAAAAAAAAAAAAAAAAAAAAAAAAAAAATATATATATATATATATATATATATATATATATATATATATATTGATTTTTTACAGAGGAATAGAGAGGGATAGAGAGATAGAAACATCGATGAGAGAGAATCATTGATCAGCTGCCTCTTGCACACTCCCCACTGGGGATGTGCCCACACCAAGGTACATGCCCTTGACCGGAATTGAACCTGGTACCCTTCAGTCCGCAGGCTGATGCTCTATCCATTGAGCCAAACTGGTTTCGGCCAATTCTGTCCTCTACATGTGGAAGTTGGAAAGGGGTGAGCCATGAAACCAAGGGGGAAGGCCTTCGCACATCTCACTACAGATATTAGCCGGGGCCTGCCTACCTCACGTACTTCTGGGCCCTTCCTTCCCAGGAACGCAGACATGACGGTAACACCGTCCACAACAGTGTCAGCCGCTGGACCACTCCCGTGCGCCGGAGACTGGACGAAGACATGCCCTGTGGTCTCAGTGGATCTCTATGACCACTCCTCTCCAGGTGAGGAAGCTGGGTCTATGGAGGGTGAGTAATGAGGTGGTATATCTTCATCTGTATCCATTTGCCCGGGGAAGGTGGGAGGAGATGGCCCAGGAAACCGTCACCTCCTCTGCCAGTGGGCCCGGGACCTGCAGCCTTGGCTGCTGGCCTGAGAAGCTGGCTGGGGGCGTTGTGTCACCACAGGGCCATTTGTTCGAACGTTTCTGACCAAGAGTGCCCACCCACTCCGGAATAACATGAGTTTAGTGGACAGAGCTCGCAGGGGTCTTGCTTGTGGGAAGGAAGGGGTGGAATGCTCAGTTAGGAAGGTGGGCCCCAGACGGCCCTGGCCCTCAGCTTTGAGGCCTTGCACTCGCCCTCCCTGCTGTTTGCCTGGCTGGCGGTGGTGAGGGTTTGAGATGCGGAGCACCATGCAGGCCTGGGGCCCTGTGGATGACTTGGTGGCTCCCTAGGGAGCTGGGTCCTTTCCTGCAGTTTGCCTGGAAGTGTCAGCAGCAGATTGAGCTTCACTAGGTAAACCCCCCCGCCCCCGCCCCGCCTTCCCCCTAGCCCATGGGCGGTGGGAGCCCAGCAGTGAGATGGGGATTCTGGTCAAATGGGCTGTGAGGCGCTGATGTTGTGAGAATGCTAAGTATCCCAGACAAGTGAATGCCACCTACTATCACACAGACAGGCAATTTCATAGTTACATTTTCCTCTTCTACTAATATATAGAAAAATGCAGACTCTAGGCTTAAAACATTGTTTTTAATAAAACAAAAGCAGTTCATCGTGAGTACAAGGTTAAGCAGTGCCGAACGTAACTTGCATGTTTATTGTTTTTTTCTAAGATAGTCGCTCAAGCCTTGCGTACTTGTCTGCCTCAGCCACAGCCTGGACAGATGGCCCCGTGGGGACCTCTGAGCTCAAGGGCAATTCTCCTTGGGGCAGGGTCACAGGCTCTTGAGGTCCCCCATGACCACGTGGGCTGCATTGCGACCAGCGGCTCCCATGACCCCTCCTCCTGGAAGGGAATCTCCCATGAGCCAAAGCTGCACTCACCCCATCCCAGCCACCAGGGAGCAGGGCCAGAGCTCAGGGGAGCAGCGGCCAAGCGGAGTGGGGATGCTGGAGAGCTCTGGCGTGGGCCTCAGGACCACCTTGACCCCTGATGACGACAGGCTCTGGGCCCCCCTGCAGGTTTCCTGCCTCGGAGCTCTGGGAGTGGCCGGGCCCTCGGTCTAAGCCAGTGCCTCTTTGGGTCCGAGAGCCCATGTGCCCGATGGGAGACCCTCAGCACGTGACACTGACACAAGACGGAGGGCCTTCCCGGGTGCTGAGCCCGGGGGCCCAGGTAAGAGTCACCATGACCTGCGGCCTCAGGGGGGGTCCGTCACGCTTGGGATAGGGGAGGGGAGGGGAGTTTTTAAACGGAGAAGCTAACTTACCGATCCTTCTGGTCTGAAGGAAGGAGGGGGTTTAGGGGACATGGGTGCCTCGCAGTCCCACACTGGAATGTGGGGAGATGCCTCGGAGGCATACCCCAAACCTCCCAAGGAGGGTGCGAGCCACCTAGCCTGTGCCTGTGGCCCGCCGGGCAGAGGGCACGCAGTGGGGGACGGTTGTTCCTGTGGGGGTCCCGGCCCCTCCCTGTTTACCCTGTCCCCGTCCGCATGCCGCTGATGTCCCGCCAGCCCTCACCACACGCACAGGGAGGTGGACGAGGCTCACTCACCGGGGTGGGCCCCGCTCCCGCAGAGGTACAGGCCCGGGAGGGGGCCGCGGTAGCCAGCGTACAGGGGCGTGGGGCGGGCGAAGTAGAGCTGGTCCAGGGTCATGGCGCTGTGGAATATGTTCTGCGGGGCGGGGCCACGGGGTTACACAGGAGGGCTCCCCCTCCGAGTGCTCTGCTGGTTCATACAGAGGGAGAGGAAAGGGCACATCCCGGTGCTGGGGGAAGCTTTCCAGAGTTTGTGTTTTTTTTTTTCAGGAAGAAAGAAGGTGGGAGCATCTTCAGAGTGTGAGGAAACGGGGGGAATTGAAAGGGAGATTCTGTGTTTTGCTATGGACTGTGAAGCCCGCTCTGTTTGTAGTGAGAGGAATTGGGCTGTTTTGGCTGCTGGCACGTGTTTCTGGAGCCAGGACACCGTCTGAGCCTGGGCCTGGGCATCCAAGCTGCAGCGGAAGCACAGTGAGTGCAGACGAGGGGCAGGGGGACTGAGCTGGGCTCTGTTTCCATGGCCTGGAAGGCGGGGGTAAGGGAGGGGTGGGGAGGTCCGGGCACCAACGTCTGCAGGGAATCACCACAGGGTGTCCTTCCAGCCTGTCCCTTATCCCTCAAGTCTGCTCTTGCCCCTGCCTCAGTGGAGACACCCCTTTGCTCTCCTCGGCTTCCAGGCTGGACCCCCTCATGTCCTTTCCACCACTTCATGCCTTCCACACCCACCCATTCCTTCCCTCTGCCTGGAATCCTTTATCCAATAAAATCTAACATGAGCCCCATATGTGACTTTTATTTTCTAGCCACGTGAAAATTTAAAAAGGGATGGTGAGGTTAATGCTAATATGGGTTTCCTTTAACCCAGTAGCCCCAGAACATTGCATTTCACTGTGGGATCAATATCGCCATGATGGATGAGACATTTCACACTTGCCCCACACTGAGTCTTTGCCCCTGGTGTGCCTTTCACACAAGCAGCGCGTCCCATTTGGGCCCAGACACAGTGCCGTGGGCAGCAGCTACAGGCAGCCGGTGCCGCTAGGTTGGAACCGGCCTCCCTGCCTCAGCCTCAGGGAGGCTTGGTGCCCTGACCGGGAGCCTGAGGGCCGGCAGCCTAGAGGAGGGGCGCTCCCTCGGAAGCAGCTCCAATGGACAGGCCCACATGGACGTCCAGGCGGAGGGCCCAGTCCTGGTGAGCTTGCCCTCCTGCCTGAATCTCCCAGCTCCGCCTGCTCCCTGCATCGACCTGGCCCCTCCCTGTCCCCTTTCCGCCATGGGCTCTGCCCCTGCCCTCCCTTTGGTGAAGGCTGTGTGGAGGGCACGCCAGGGAGGGGGGTACAGAGAGAAGAATGTGATGAGGGACCCCCTCCCACCCCCAGACTTATTCTTACCCCTCCAGGAAGCCCGATGATCCTCTCCAAGTCCGGCGGAGTGAGGATGTCTCTGCCCAGCACGGAGCCCCTGAAGCCGGGGGCGTAGGCCTCGATGCAGTCGAACACTGGGCCAGGCAGCGGAAGACGGGTGGCGGTGGGAGGAGGCGTTATGGGTCACGATTTGGCAAGTTTACTGTAACTCACTAAACTGCACACTGCAAATGTACCTCAATAAGCCACAGACAGATAAAACAGTCCTCAGGCAAAGAAATAATTCCGTGCAAAGGCCTATGGATCTCAGGCTAGTCCCACCTTCTTACCTCACCCCTCAACACAGTTACTTCCTCCTCCTCGACTGTGCAAAGCTTTCTTTACCTCGTTGCTTTGCTCAAGCTCTTTCTTTTGCTTGGAATGTCATCTGCTACCTGGCTAACTCCTATTCATCCTGTAAAGCCCCACCCAAAAGGCCCCTCCTTTGGGAAGCTCTCCCAGTCCCTCTGCCTCAGGCTTCCTCCTTTGGTTTACACAGGACCTTGTCCTGTGAGATTGGTTTCCTTGTCACTCAACCCACTGGACCGTGAGCCACTGGAGGGCAGGAGCTGTCTCTTTTACTTTCTCAGCCCAGTGCCTGACCCTAGGCATTCACTGTGTAGACCACATGTGTCAAACACTAGGCCCGCGGGCCAAATCTGTCCCGCCAGGCCTTGCAATGTGGCCTGCACCGCGCTGTCATCACTGCACTCCGCTGCGTTTCCATCACAATGACAGTTTATGACTGTTCAGTAAACCATTCGGCCCGCGATTTAGGCTGGATTTTAGATTTTGGCCCCTTCTCTGATTGAGTTCAACACCCCTAGTGTAGACTTAGGGTTCCTTGGATAATTCTCAGGGGACAGATCCTGCAGGTGGGGGACTCAGAGGAGAGGGGCCCTCAGAACACACAGCCACTGCTGACAAGATGTCTTGTCCAGCAGACCTCCTTACCTCTGTCTGCATATGCGTTTCTCTCCTGCTCATCCCACGCTTTGCCTCCGGCCAGGGTGTAGGGCGTGTACTGCGTGAAGAGGGAGAGCACGTGGCAGCCGGGGGGAGCCAGCGTGGGGTCCAGTGCGGAAGGGATGCAGAGCTCAATCATAGGCCTGTGGCAGGAGGGGTGGTCAGAGCCAAAGAAGCAGGTGCCCCAGGGAAGGGGCTGAGGCCGCTGGGCTGACAGGCGACAAAATGAAGGCAGGGGCCAGGACGACGCCCAGGCCGGGAGGATCGTCTCTGTGAGGCCGAGGTGGCTGTTCACCCCATAGGGCAGTGGCCACCAGGAGAGTCCAGATTACTCCTGAGGAGCTCAGCTCCAGCCTCAGGCTGCACCCCGTGGCCTGCAGGCCGTGCCCCCCAAGGTCTCTGTTCCCACCAGCCCCAGCCCCAAACGCGTGGCCTGGCCCTGCCTCCGTCCACCACACAGCCTGGAGGACAAAGGGTCTCACATACCCCAGGTCCCGACAAACAACACGAATGAGCGACGGGGCCAGGCTAAGCAGCAGGTGCCGGAGCAGCCAGATTTCAACCTCTCACCCTGCCTGGTCCCCTGTCCCGGGCAGGCCAAGCAAGACAGAGCTCCTGGCACCAGAAGCACAGAAACCGGGCCTCCTCCTCCCTGGATTACAATACCTGTCCCACCTGCAGCACAGGATTCTGCTGGCCTCCAGGTATCGCCAACCTTAAGGCCATCGAACGCCCTTCTCCCTCATCCCTTCCCTGCAGTGCTCCCTCTGGGCTTGCATAGCTACTGGGCCTCTCCAAAGGGACTTGTCCAAACCCAACGCCTGGATCCCCTAGACCTGCTCCCCCTGCACACCTTCGACCCCTCCCGACACAGGAAACACCGTCTCCTGGGGCTTCTCTTTCTCGTTCCTACCCCACTTCCTGCCCAACAGCAAATCCTGGCAGCGTTATCTTCAAATACCCAGAATGCGGCCCCTTCTCGTCACCTCCACCGCCCCACCTGGTCCACGCCTCCATCCCTTCTCCTTGGGTTCTCCACCGCAGCTGACACCCCTTTTCTCCGCTCAGCGGCCACAGCAGCCCTTCCAAAGTGCAAGTGAGGCTCTGCCCACACGTCCCCAGAGACGACACTCCCGCATTTCCTCAGGTTCTTCCCAAGCCCCACGGCGATGGACACAGCCCAGCAGGATGTAGCAGCTGCTGCTCAGGCCCCACCTGCTGCCCTTCACTCCCAGGTTCTCTCTCCAGTCACTGCCTCATTCCCGTGCCTCCCGCACAGCAGCACCTCTTGCCCCAGGCCGTTGCCCCTGACTCTCCCTCTGTCTGGATGTTCTTCCGCAGACACCCCCAGACCTCCTTCCGGTCTCTGCTCAAGTGCAAAGCTATTAGCGAAGCCTCTTCTGACCCTCCAATGAAGGCTAGCAACAACTCCCTCCCTGGCCTGTTTTTCTTCCTATCACAGTGCACTGTCTCGTCTCCTTTAAAAAAAATATCAGTGAGCTGAGGGCAGAGGCCTTGTTCACTCTGCCTGTTGGTTGCACCCTAGTCCCTGAACTAAGCCTGTAACAGAGTAGGGGCCCCACATGCTTATGAGTGGGTTAGGGGACTTTGCCCTCTGCCCTTGTCTCAGGACCCACAGCCTCTTTAGCTCGTGCTGTTAATGTTTATGTGTCCGTCCGATGATAGACTTAGTGTCTGCCTCATGCCCCTACCCTACCCCGGATCCCTTCACCCTGTGCCTGCACAGAGCCCAGTACAGAACCGGTTTTCAACAAGTTTTGGTGGACATGGACAGCATAGAACAATGCTTGCTCCTGAACATCCCTGCCTATTCCTAGGATGGAGATACAGCTGTGGTGTGGTGCGCGGTGGGAAATGCTTTTCCAAGTTTTGCATGAAGGCAGCTTATCCTCATCTCTAATAAAGAGGGAATATGCAAATTGATGGTCGCAGCATAACAAAATGGCTGCGCCCATAGCGGAGGCCAAGTTCCTGAATAAGCATTAACAAGCAATCACCAGGGCCTTGAGGCTGCACTACCTGCCTGGTGGGGCTTGACAGGGGACCTCAAGCTGCACCCATCTCGTAGGGGACCTCAGGCCATGTCCCTTACCTGGCAGAGCTTGATGGGAGACCTCAGGCTGAGCCCCCCGCCCTGGCACCAGCCAAAGGATCTGAGGCTGTGCCCCATGTTATGTGGGGCATGACTGGGGACCTCAGGTCATGCTCCTCACCTGCAGGGCTTGACAGGGAACCTCAGGCCGTGCCCCACACCTGGCAGGGCTTGATGGGGGTGGGGTCAGCTGGGTCTGGGTCTCATGTGATTTTGAGGTGCACATGGGTGGGTGCTGACTTGATTCTGGTTCCTGTGGCATGCCCCAGACTCTGACAGGAGGAAGATTTTCATATACATTTTACTAATTTTCTTTCATCTCTGACACTTCTATAATAGAAAAAGGGCAATAGCAATATTAAAATATTTCCTCTAATTAATTCCCCTTTGATGTGCACAGAGTTCATGCACCGGGTCACTAGTCAGAGATAAGAGAGGATATAGAGTCGGTGAGTGTGTGCCCCTGGGCAGGCTGCTGAATTGGATAAATGCCTTTTCTCTCCCGCATTTTCTCCAGTTCTTCCCAAATGCCAGCACTGTTCTCTTTGCTCCTTCTGCTAATCCGTGCTACTTGGCTGGACCTGCCAGACTCTGTATCCCTTACCTGCCCCAGCCCATATTTCCTGCCTGGGATGCATTTCCTAGCCCTGGAATCTAAGTGTGGATTCAGGCAGGTCCGACCTCGTTGTGAATATTTAACACCAGGAGGAAGAGACAACCCTTGCTTTGTCTGGACAGTCCCCATACCTCCTTAGGACCATGGCTGAGAATACGCCAGGATGCAAAGCCCAGGGACAGCTCACCTGTGGGAGGGCCGGCCATCCATGGCCTCCTCAAAGGCCTGGTGGAGCAGATGGGTGTCCTCACAGTTCAGGTGGATGGAGCACTGGTGATGGGGCAGCGGCTGGCCCCCGGGAGCATTGGGGGCCGCCAGGAAGTTTGGCAGCCGGTCGACAGCCACTGAGGAACCAAACGAAGGAAGAAGAGGTCAGGGCCCCAAGGCCTGTGTCCTCTGCCCCCCAGATCCTCCTTCCCTCCCCATCACCCTGCTCACTCGTGTTAGACTGGGAAGAGAAAGTATGAGAGGGTGTTTCCCCTTCAATCAGGGGGCAGGCTGGAGGTCGGGGATAGAAATGAGGAGGTCAGTGTCCCCCAGACCTGGACGTTTCTCACCCCTACTGTGTCAGAGGGACGGACTGCAGTGGGGTTTGCCTCTTACCGTTGATCTTGGTGACAGGCGACTGGATGTCCAGCTGAGAGATTCTCTGAGTGAACTCTTCTGGAAGCCATTCCTGCAAGCAGAAGTGTCCATAAAAGGCCTGGCCCCAGAGTGGTGGCCTTGGTCCTTTGCTCAGACCGGTCTCTTGACCTCTACATCCGGAAATTCTCTCTGTCCTCAGAGCTCAGCCAGACCCCCTCCTCCGGGAAGCCCTCCGCTCCTGCTTGGCACCAACCACGTCTCCCTCTGTGGCCTGCCAGCAGTCCTGGCTGTAAAGGGCCACAATGACTCCTGCTTTCCATACAGCCAGTGGTCTGCAGGCCTCTTTCTCCCCTCGCCTGGAGCTCTTGGGAGCCTTGATGCTCTCAGAAGTGCCCTAACAAGAGGCTTTTCAACTGATGTTTGTTGGGTTTGGTAGCGGAATCACTCAGAAACAGAGGTGCTTGTCTCAGGAACAGTCCCAAGAATGGCTGGGAGCTCCATGCTCATCTCATCTATGTTAGGGACGGGGAAGGTGTGGTCAGCTGCAAAAATTGTTCCAAATCCTCCTGCCTCTCTATGCACACCTCTTTGTAATGTCCTCCCATTTCAATACTGGGGTTGACCTTGAACAAGGCCAGTGTAGGTGGGATGCAAACCTGGAAAGGACTGCCTGGTTGCGTTTGCTTGCTTTTGCCTTCTGCCAGATGCCGAGAATATGCTAGAGCTGTGCTCGGCAAACTGCGGCGGTTTGCCGCTCTGTTGACTAATGAGTTTGCCGACCACTGACCTAGACTCTTGAATTCAATAATTATAGGCTGTTTTTGTTCCTTGTGATTAAGCCCCTATTCCAGTGATCGGCAAACTTATTAGTCAACAGAGCGGCAAACCGAGGCGCGCGAGCCACATGTGGCTCAAGAGCCACAGTTTGCCAACCACTGTAGAGGCTAAAGGACACGTGGAACAGAGCTATCTCCTCCCCCCCCCCCCCCCCCCCACACACACACAGCCAAGGTCATTTGGGCAGAAACTGTCCTGCACCAGCCATGCCTCCTGACCCCCTGGCTGGCATGTGAGCAAGCCCAGCCTGGGTCAGCAGGGCTCAGAGCTGATGACAGATGTACGAGGAGCCCAACTCAGCTGAGCTTAGCCAAGATCAACAGAATGCCCGAGCTCTCTGTGCTCGGTCAGTAGTTCTTTCCCATGCCCAGGAGTCCTCTGGCTGTCTGTGATGCAGCGTTCATATGGAGATAGAAAATCCACATGGGCAGCGGAATGGGGCTGGTTAGAAGGGAGGAACCAGATATCAGGGCAGTTGTATAAATAATTCTGGGTCCCAGCTCTGGCTCTGGGTCCCAGCTCTGTCCTTGGCCACCTGCATGGCCCAGGGCACCTCGCCTCTCTGGACCTCTCTCCTCACCCGTGAGGCTCCTGCCTATTTGTCTGTCTGCTGGGTGAGGAAGGTCTGGCTTCCCCAAAGATGGACAGACATGGCACTTGAATTTCCTACCCCCATTCGGTTCCAGCTCCCCCGATCACCCATTTTCAGCTCCTGTCTTGGCAGAGATCTTTAAAAGTTTTTTGTTTGTTTGTTTGTTTTTTATTCATTTCTGAGAGGTGAAAGATGAGGGAGAGGGAGATAGAAACATCAATGATGAGAGAGAAATCATTGATTGGCTGCCTCCTGCTTACCCCCCTCTCCCCCAACTGGGGAATCGATCCCACAACCTTGAGCATGTGCCCTGACTGTTCATAGGTCAACTGTGCCCTCCTGGTTCATAGGTCAACCTTCCACCACTGAGCCACACCGGCCGGGCTGGGCAGGGATGAGCCTCCCCCAGGCTCACCTGTGGCGTCAGCTTCAGGAAGGTGGTCCGCGGCGCGGCGTTGGACAGCACCACTCTGCTCCTCACCTCCGAGCCGTCCTGCAGCACCACGCCTCGCACACGCCCTCCGCTGTCCACCTGCACCTTCGCCACTGTCTGCACCCACACAGCGAGGCCCAGGAGCCCCCGGGGCGGGGGGACGAACCAGGTTAGAGCCTGAAGGATTTCCACTGTCTCTGCTGCTCCTAGGCTGTCACGGCCTCCACACCCCAAATCCACCTGCCGGGCCCGGCAGCTCCTCGGTGAAACACAGCCCGTCCCTCCACAGCCCGCGCCCCCCTATCCCCCCCAAAGGCTCAGCCCCGGTGTGGGCAGAGGCAGTGAACTTGACGGGGAGGCAGACGACCTGGGACCCGGGGGACAGTGGCTCAGCTACTAATGGGCTATATAACCGAGCTCCTGACTCCAAGCCCCGCCCTGTCCATTGGTAAAATGAGGGAACTTGGGAGCCTGAGATTTTGGAAGGACCCTCACCAATCATCAGAGGATGTGATAGAGGGGCCACTCACCTTCTCAGTGAAGATACTCGCTCCGTGCGCAGTGGCTGAGCTGGCGATGGCATCGGAGAGGGCACCCATGCCGCCCTCGACGTAGCCCCAGGCCCCCTTCACCCCCTCCAGGCCCCCCATCACGTGATGCAGCAGCACATACCTGAGGGCAGATCATCAGGCTCAGTGGCCAGAAGAGGGATTTAACCTCCTCAGAGTTCAAGGTGCAAGTATTCCACCCTGCCTTGTACCTCCAGCCTCTCTCTCCCCCATCCAGCCCTGCCCCACTAGCCTTCCAAGGAGCTTAGGCTCTTGGAAGAGTCCTTCACTTCCCCATCCCGTATTCTCTCCCCAAACAAATGGATCTGGTGCAGCTTTGGTGCCAGCAATGCGGCGACGCCCAGACCCGCAGCTCCGGCTCTGTCCTGCGCTCCAGTCCATCTGTCTAGCTGCCCACTGATATCCCCATGTGGATGGTTTCTGGGCTGGCGTCTAACACCCAATCTTTGCCCCCATCCACCAATCTCCTTCCCCGTTCCCCACCCCAATGGACGGCATCTCCAGTTTCCAAAAGAAACCTGGGTGCAGTCTCACCTCCTAATCTCTCCCGCCCTCCATCCAATCACGTGCTGTCACCCCCGCCTCTGAAGAGCTTTCCCGCCCCGGCTCCCTGCAGCTCCTTCCCTGGTCCAGGCCTCTCTCCTCTCCTCCGTAGTAAACACTGCAGTAGGCCTTCCTCATTGGACCGCCTTCTCCCACCCTTTCTCCCTGCAGACCTTTCTCCTCGCAGAACCTGGGGTCCAATCTCACAACCCAGCCAGGCCCCTGGCCCTTCTCTCCTGCCCGGCCTTCTCTGTCTCCTTGTCAGTCATGGCCAGAGTCTGAAAAGGGCCCCAGGGATCCTGCCTGATCTCGCGACTCATCCCTTCCCATGCCCCCCTCACCGCACACACTCCCACCAACTGACCCTCTGGCAGTCCCTTGAATAGACCACATGGCTTCTCAACTCCCAGCCTTTGCACAAGGAACACAGCTGCCTAGAGCCCCTCCCTCCCTCATCTTCTGCGTCACTAGCGCCCCCTGTCCTTAGGGGCTCAGAGGGACAGCCGCTCGCACCTCGGCGTCCGCTGTCATCCCCTGCTGTGTGTCTAACTTGCCCACAGGATTTCAGCTCCACTTACTACTGCTGCCCTAGCACCTCACCCCGACAAGTGCTCCATCAATATTTATGGAAAGAATTAATGAAGAAACAAATTACTTAGAGGCACATTTTACAATCTGGGCAGCAGCTAAGCCTCCTGGAGACCCACAGGAGGAACAGAATAGGAAAAGGCTAGGAAGCCCCCACTGGAAGATCCAAATGGACTGTTTGGTCATGGAGCTTGGGCAAGGTGTGGCAACTGCTGCCAGCCCCCCTTCCCACAGCCCTGGGGAGGTGGGGGCTGGCTTAGTGTGTTCGGAAAACCACCCCCAAGGGGCGCTCCCTCCCTCGAGAGCTTCTAGCTGCATCCTCTGTGCTTTGGACTTGGCCCAACACCTGGCAGCATCCTCTCTCCCAATACACTCACCCCTCCCTTCCGGCTCCTGCAGGGGCTCACTGAGGCCTCCCACAGCTCAGGGCTCCAGTGTGTGAGACTGCCCCCTCTTGGAGCAGGCTGTCAGCACACCCTGCTCACAAAGGGAAGGCAGCTTCCCACCCTTACCCAGGCGACTGTGTGAAAACATGTCCCAGAGGAACAATGAGTGGGAGAGGGAGGGGCAGTAGGATTTCCTGGGCGGGAAGACACAGGAAGAGGAGTGAGGGAGAGAAGAGGGGAAGGAGTGGGGAGAAGACACATCTATGTGAGAGAGCACAGTGGCAGGTGGGTGAGAGGCTTTTCTTACGGAAGAACAGAGTAGCAGCTAAGAAGGACTTTTGGGGGTCAAACAACTTGGGCTGCAAATCAGCCGTGCCACTTAGTAGCTGGGTGACTGTGGGCACAATAGGTGCCTTCTCTGAACCACGGCTCCCAGACGTTAGCGTTAGGGTCAGGTGGATCGTGTGTGGAGGGCGTGGCTTCCTGCCTGGCTCGCAGGGTGAGCTCAGTCAGTGACTCTTATTATCACTCGTTTGCGGGAATTGCTCCACTCCTACTGCCCCCTCACCTCCCACACTCACCCACTCCCCGGAGTGTGGGGACTTGTCATGGCTCCAATCACAGAATCCGTTGCTAGAGTAGCTTTTAGAGGCTCGGACTCAAACCACTGATCCAGCACCTAGGACAGTAACACAGCAAGGAGAAGAGCTTAGGGCCATGCGGGAGAGAGGGGGGTGGGGGGGGGGGGAGAGGGAGGCCCTGCCTAAAGCTGGGAGCCTCTCACCTTGGTACTTGGAGCTGTGAGGACCTGGTAATACTGGGGCAGCTTGGTCCCCAGGATGCAGCCTGAAAGAGAAGACCCATAAAGCATAAACAGACAGGCAAGAAGGAAGGCTCTGATCTGCAATCTCTCTGCACCTGATTCTGACTCATCTACAAGATTTGCTTGCTCAATGGAATGCTTTAAGTTGTGATGCAAACCGTGGCTTGGAACTGTCCTGAACATTGGGGCTTGCCCTCTGAGCTTCTGCCATTAATTCAAGAAGGCCTCCACTCGCCTGCAGCTCCCAAGAGGACAGGCGCCTGGAGCACAGCTGCCCCAGCTGACCTGCCCCAGCCACGAACATGTGTGAGGCAAGACTAGATCAGCGGAGCCCAGTTGGGGTCAACTAGACTTGTGGTCAGCAAACTGCGGCTCGCGAGCCACATGCAGCTCTTTGAGTATGGCTCTTCCACAGAATACCACGGCCTGGGCGAGTCTATTTTGAAGAAGTGGCATTATAAGAAGTTTAAAAAAATTTGGCTCTCAAAAGAAATTCAATTGTTGTACTGTTGATATTTGGTTCAGTTGAGTTTGCCGGCCACTGAGCTAGACCATGCAGATTTGTGAGAAATTAACTTTTATGTGCCACTGGAGTTTTACAGTTTTATGGAGCAACTAGAGGCCCGGTGCATAAATTCGTGCACGGGTGACTGGCAATCGTGCTGATCAGGGCCATCTTGCCCAGTCCCAATTGGGGCTGTTTGGGGCTGGTGGCCAGGGAGGGACCACAGGAGGGACTGTAGAAGGGCTTCAGGGAATGTCTGGCCCCATCTTGCCCAATCCTGATCGGCTGGACCCCAGCAGCAAACTAACCTACTGGTTGGAGCATCTGCCCTCTGGTGATCAGTGCATATCATAGCAACGAGTTGGTCAACCACTTAGTCAAGACACTTAGCATATTAAGCTTTTATATATATAGATTTTGTGATCATAGCTAACTGTTTCAGTATTTTTCTAGAATACAGAAGCTAAACTGGTCTTTATAACCTGGAGGAGTCGAAAAGAATAGCATTGCTTAACCAAACTTCCTTTCTCATAGCCATGGCAGACATCCCTTATCCATCACAGAAGGTTTTTCTTGCTAAGCCCCAATCTAGCAGCCTCTTCACACTCTCGTGGCCCCGCACAGAGTTCCGTCAGCTTCACACGGTGCCAGCGACAGCATCTCACCTCACGCCTGTAAGACGTGCCTCTGCATTTCAACCTTGGGGTTTCTCTGGCCCCCGAGACAGGACGCCCACAAATGGCCACTTGACACCCATGAATGCACAACCCTATGCAGGAGTTAAAACACCTTGGGGCAACCTTTGATCATTGGGAAGTAGAACCTAACGGAGAAAGGTTTCTCATTTTCCTCTTGGGACTGGCCCTCGCATGCATTTCCTAAGGCTCCTAGGGGGTCCTCTGAGGTCCCAGCAGCTGTTACCTGCGTGGTGGCCCACACAGCAGCACACCGGCATGGACTCTTTCCATCTCTCTCTGCCCTTCCCTGGATCACCCTTCAAAACTAACTCCTCGCACATAAGCTTTTGTGTGGGCTCTGGTTTTAGGCTCACCAGGCACGGCCTCCTCCCCGAGCTGCCGGCAGCCCATAGGGATGGCAGTTGGCAGGCTGCCGTGGAGGCCCCGCCTACGTCTGATCACAGAGACAGTGGGCTCGGCTCCGAGAAGGCCCCTCACCTGCCCGATGCAGCTGGGACTCACCTGCCCGCAGCAGGGGTGCCAGGGTGGAGAGCGCCCTGAGCCTCTGCAGGAGGCTGCCCCGCCAGAAGGCCTCCGCGTCCACGGGGGCTGCGTCCAGCAGGAGGTCGATGGCTGATGCCAAGCGATTCATGAAGGCCTCGTATTTGGGATAAGCCTGGAACAGAACCCCCAGTCAAGGCCCTGTTGCTTAGCAGGGGACATGGTCCCAAGCTCTGCCCTCCATGCTGCCCCCACGTGGCCGCTGCCCTCAGCGGAGCCTCTGGTTCCTCTGGCCTGGTGCCCAGCCATCTCACTGTGGCTGTGCTGTCGCTCCCTGTCCCTGGTCTGTGCTGAGGTCGACACCAGGGGAGGTCAGAGCGGGCCTGGGCAGCGGGAGAGCCATGGGGTGGTGGCAGGAACAGGGGTTAAGCTGGCCAGTAGTCAGCCACAGAAGCCTGGCAAGTACCCAGGATGTGGTCTCCGTGCTAAACCAAGGGCCACTGAGCAGTTTCTTCTTTCTCTGCCATCTGCCCGTGCATTGCTGAGGGGAAGTAAGATGGTTTTCCCAGCTCTGCAGCATGCCCACTGCTCCTTCCTGCTCTGCAAACCTACCATGGCCTCCCATCACAGCAGGAACAGGTCTGCTCCCTTCACCCCAGGAGCCCCAATCCACTTTTACCCCAGAATCCACTTCGACACCCACCCTCCTCCCCTGGGTAGGCGACAGGAGCTGGGTGGCTGCCTGTGCCCTGGAGGCCTTATCTTCCTTTCCAGCCCAGAGCTTTTAACGTTTGGGTCATCTAGACTCACGGATATACCCATGGAATTTGATAATTGCTACATAAAGTTCTGTCTGGAAGCACATTGGGGAGCTCCACAGCTTTTCTGCAGGAGGCCGTTAGTATAAGGTGACCAGACGTCCCGCTTTTGGCGGGACAGCCCCGATTTTTAACAACTTGTCCTGCGTTGCCAGGGGACGCGAGACAAATTGTTAAAAATCGGGACTGTCCCGCCAAAAGCGGGACATCTAGTTACCTTACGTTAGTGTGACCATCCACAAAGACGAAGCCAGAATCCAGGCTCCTGCCTCCCCACGGGGGACGAGCCCTGCCTCCTGCTCCTGTGGTTGGCAGCCCTCCTGGCCACAGCCCCTGTCCCACAGGCCTGGGCCCTGGCCGTGTCCTAAATGCTCCCTCGTGCATCCGAGGGGGCAGGGTGTGGAGAACAGGGTGGAGGCACCAAAGGATCACTCTGAAAGCAAAGCAGAGCTCCCCAGGCGACTCTGACTGCCAGCCAGGCTTGGAAATGGCGGGCTGAAGAGATGTTACCTGGTGATAGACGAGCCTCACAAAAAAGCAACACACTTCGGTTACATTCACCGAGGTTCCCCTTATAAAAATGTCTGCACCAGGATCTGAGTTAATGCCATGCCTTCAGCTTATAGCTAGGCTTAGGACAAAAAAAAATAGCCATTTAAGGAATCTTCTTATATCTGCAAACCAATCACACCAGGCCCATCATATTCAACAACTCGTTAGACAAAGCTACCCAACGAATCCCTTATAATGCCACCCAAAGCCAGGAAAACCGAGCATTCGCCGTCAGATGCGGTGCATCAGCTCAGCAGACCCTCACACCATTGTGGACAAGCTCTCGCCTTGGGCTGTCGGGGGATTGGCGCCAAATCGAATGAATATTTATTACAACCTTCTAGTCCTAAACTCCCGATCCAGTTCATTCTATCTTTAATCGTCTCTGATCCGCCCTTGATTCTTCGTCCGGCCTCCCTGTGCTTTAATATTGATAACCACTGAGAGCTCTGTCTGAGAGCAGCGGAGACAGAAAGCACACAGTGCAAGCACATGCCAGCGCCCCCTCTGACAGTCATAGGCAGAGGCTGTCGGAACAGTGGCCACACAGGTTTGAGGGGCCCCAGTGTCCACTGGTCTCAGCCACGGACCTTCCCCTCTTCTCTTGGCAGTGCCCAAGATCGAAGGTGAGCTGGGAGGTGGGGTGGCCTGTCCGAGCCCCCTGGCCCTCGGACATGTGCCCCAGGACAAGTCCAGCCAGGCCCGTTTCCTTTCCAGAGCCGCCTGCAGGAGAGAGGGAGAGAGAGAGCAGTCGCCGGTCACTTTCCCTACCTGGGCATCCTTCTGTGAGAACTGGGCGATCTGCCTCTGGTTTTCCGCCAGGTCTGAGCCCATCAGGAGGGACCTGGGCGCCTTGCCCCCCGTGCCTTCTTCCAGCATGGGGGTGAAGGAGTGGGGGTCTCGGAGATAGACTCTCAGCCCATGTTTCTGCAGGACACAGGCAGAACAAGCAACTGCTGAGGGATTTGTGGCCTCTGCCCTTGACCTTCGCTGGTTGTGTTTATGACCATAGAGATACCTGCATGCAGGTTCCCATGGTCCTGATTCCTAGTTTTTAGTGTGAGAGTATAAAAGCCCCAGTGCCCAGGCACTCCTGTGGCAGACCATGTCACAACACGCCACAACACAACACGCCAGGCCACACCACACCACTCCATGCCAAGATGCACCATGCCACTCCACACCACATCACACCAGGGCACACAAAGCCACACCACTCCATGTCACACCCCCTCCTATCACACCATGCTACCCTGTGCCAGAGACCGTACTAGGGTTTGCAATGGTTAGCTTACATCAACTCTCCACCATCTTCATTGCACAAACGCAATAACTGAGGCTTGGGGAAGTTAAGTAACCTGCCCAAGGTCACATTGGAAAGTGGATCAGGTTTCATAACCACATCTCTGACTCAGAAGCCCCGGCTCACGCTCCGCACTAGTCTACAGCTGCCCCCGCTCCTGAGATAAATAATTAAAACTTGGAAAGACACAATAAAAAAACAATTATGTGAAAATCCATACTTACAAGGTAGATAAATTATTCACATCAAAAATTTTTATTTACTGTGCAGACTCATTTACTCCAGGGTCACCTTAAGTGGAAGCTCCCTTGATGCATTTAAAATACGATTTGACTTACAAATATTTGAAGAGCACACGGAACCTTTCAGGAGCACATTTTATTTTACTTTATTAATAAAGCTATTAATCATGTGAAAAACTCTGTTCTGTGACGCCCCGTTTTCAGAAGCTTGATTTCTCACAGGAGGGTCTCCCCACCCCGCGCCCACCACAGCTGCCTCTGCTCACGCACAGCTGGTGCGGCCGCACGTGCCACCGGCTCTAGGCTGGTACTGCGGGCTGAAGACCAGAGCCTTTCCTGTCCTTGGCGACATTTCACCCAGTCCTGGCTGATGACACCCCCCTTCTCCCTCTCCCTCTCTCCCTCTCTCCCTCTCTCCCTCTCTCCCTCTCTCCCTCTCTTCCTCTCTCCCTTCCCCTCCCCCTCCCCCCCCCCCCCCCCTCTCTCTCTCTCTCTCTCGGCTCAATAATTTCTTTAGTGCATTTCTGTAGTTATCTAGTTCGGAGAACGCCTCTACATGAACCAGCTCAAGCAGCTGAAGAGCTGTGAACAGGGGCTCAGCGACTTATCAATTTCAAACTTTCAATTTAGAGCAAAATCGGCGCTAAAGTGCATGGCAGCCTCCTGCACAGGTGGCACCGGGGACCTCTTCTCTGAGGTGACAGGCCCCACGCAGGGAGGGGCTCAGTGGGCCCTGGGCTGTGGTGAGCAGAGTTCATAAAAGAGGCAGCGAGGGGGGAAAGGCATGTGGAGGGGGGTGGGCAGCGCTGGCCCAGCCAGTGACCAAGGTTAACCCAAGAGAGGCAACAGGGGCCCTGAGAAGTCTCAGATGGGCTCCCAACAGGCCTGGGCCCGGAAGAGGTGAAAGTCCCTCGGCTTCCTACTCTGCTGCCAAGGCAGGACCTCCCGCCAGGCAGGCACCCTCCTCAGACAGCTCTGCAGACTCAGGGCTCAAGGGTTCAGGCAGTTCCCCGAGGGCCAGACAAGTCAGGGCTGGGGGCCGGGCTGGGCCGCCCCCCTTACCCCCCCGCCCTGCATGGGGTGAATCAGTGCTGCCTGAGGAACACGGTCCTGCTGACAGAGCTCCTCCGTTAACTAAGTCTGATGTTTGTGTGGAAGTTCCCAGTTGGTAAGACACTGGGTGGACTAGACCCGTGGTGGGCAAACTGCAGCTCATGAGCCACATGGGGCTCTTTGGCCTCTTGAGTGTGGCTCTTCCACAAAATACCACGGCCTGGGCGAGTCTATTTTGAAGAAATGGCATTAGAAGAAGTTTAAGTTGAAAAAAAAAAAAATTTGGCTCTCAAAAGAAATTGCAATCGCTGTGCTGTTGCTATTGGGCTCTGTTGACTGAGTTTGCCGACCACTGGGCTAGACCAAACCATCAGCAGGAATGTACCAGGGTGACCGTGCATAGATAAGCCCTAGATTGGAAGCGAGACCTCAGGTGCAGGGAATCCCCGTGTGGGGAGCCTCACCCAGGAGGGGAGATGGAACTGACACCTTTACCTCCCCCTCCACCCCCTCCCACAACACCGGACGCAGCGGGAGCCCTACCTTCAGCTCCAGGTCGGTGTAGATCTGGGGTCTCAGCAGGCTGAGGAGGTAGGACGCTCGGGAGAACTTAAACCCTGAAACCCAATCCGATGAAGACGGTCACCGGCGGTCACCGGTGTCACCCCGCCGCCGCCCCACTCCGCCTGTCGGGCTCACCTGGGATGATCTCCTCCGTGACAGCTGCGCCCCCGATCACGTGGCGTCTCTCGAAGACGGCCGTGTCCACCCCCATTCTCTGTAGGTAGGCCGCCTGGGGGACACACAGCCCTCCCTTCACCCCTGGCGGCCGCCTGCAGGCTCGGGCCTCACTGCAGGCCAGCCTGCCCCCCGGCTCACTGTTCCCACCTCTGGGAAGCCGTTCCCCTCGCTGCCCCTGGAACTCTCGCTTTCCCGTGTCTTCTAAGACCTGACATGGCTGCTCCCGCCCCTCTGCTTCCTGGCTGCCTCTCACCTTCCCTCCGGGCAGGCCCGGGAGCCTCTGGAATCTCAGGCCCCCGCCCCAGGCAAGCGAGCCTCTTCCCTCTCCCCATCTCCCCCTCTATCCCCCCATTTCCAGAGGCCAGAGTGGCTGGGCTGTGAGCGCTGAGCCTGACCTCCTCTCACTGTGGCTCCTCCTCTCTCCTGCCTGGGCAGCTGCAGCACCAGCCACAGGGCCGCCCTCTCCTCACGTGCGAAACCGGCTGTGATAACAGCACCCGCTTCACCTGCCTCCAGGCCTGTGAGGGGCTCACTGAGCTGGCCGCGGGCTGAGGACGCACCCAGAGAAGGCAGCTCAGGCTGCAGTGCAGCCCATTCGGGGGACAATGGGGGGGGGGGGAGTTATTAACTTTTCTCTGCACTTAGCTGTAAACCAATAAATGTTTGCTGAGTAGAATTAGTCGGCTTGTGAGTCTATGCTGGTCCTCTCACCACCACCCAGGTGACAACAGGGATGGTATAGTTCAGATAGCATAGAACTCAGACTTTTTTAAAAAAAAGTTCACTTGGCAACGACCCTGTGCCAGACACTGGGCTGGGCCAGCTCGTTTGTCACCGCAGCCCCTTGAGGTGGAACTAGAATTCCTCCCTTTTCACAGACGCGGAAACCGAGGCTCCGGGAGGGGCCTCGCTCTCCGCAGGCCCACGGGCTGATGGAGGGAGGGGCTGGGAATTGGACCCAGCTGGCCTGGGCCCAGGGCCCGTGCTCCCCCACATCCGGGTGAGAGAGGAGAGAGAAGCCTGACCTTGGGGAGCCCGCCTGGCCCCGGAGGAGAGCCTGTGTGTCCAGCTGGAAGGACCAGCTCTGACCAGGGACTGGGAGCACAGAGCCTGAGACAGAGTGAGCCCCGCACAATTCTAAGCACAAACACAGGGGCTCTGCCCCCCCCCCCCCCCCCCCGTCCCCTCCAATGCCAAACGCTCCCTTTCTGGGCCGAGGGGCTGCTGCTTGGTCACCAGTTCCCGTCTCCTCCGGCCTCGGCACAGACAGGATTCATGGGGATGGCCCATCTCAGAGTTGTCCAATCGAGAGCACACCCTGCTTCTAGACCCCCACCCCCCTCAAGTCACCCAGCCACAGCGCAGCTCCCCCGAACGCCCGCTCACTGAGCGCCGGGCCCCGGGGGGTGAGGTCTCCTCGCCGCCAGGAGCCACCACCAACTCCACAGACGGCAGGGGCCTCGGCTGGAAACCTCCCGCAAGGAGTCAGCATCTGCGTCCCTTCTCAACACTCTCCGAGGTTGGCGTCTACCCCGAGTCCCCGTGGCTCAGAGCTGAGGGATTGCCTGACCCTCCCCAGGCAGGCAGAACTGGGTGGGAGACAAGCCCAGGTTCATAGGAACACAAAATAAATGTTTAAAATTACTGATCAGTTGAGTTACAGCATGTCCCCCTGTAAGATGTCCAAGTGAAATGGATGTGCTGGGGAAAGTACTGAGACTGAGCACCCATCTCATCGCTCCTGGCACTGCTAAATCCCCTTCGCTGACAGTCTAGAGCGGCCACCGCTTCTGGAAGAGGTCCCGTGTCCGCCTCGGGTCCTGGGCACCCTCTGGCACGGACTCCGGTCTGAGAAGCACGGCCATGGTGACCCTGGCCCGGCTCAGACGGCCCTGGCTTCTCTGCTGTCCCAGGGTGCACCTGGCCCGTGGGGCTGCTGTCCACTCCGGGCGGTGCGTGGCCTGACCCAGCTGAGAGCACAGGCCTCGGCACGCAGGACTGCGCACACTCGGGAGCACAGAGAGGCCCGCCCGGCGCGGTGCCTGGTCCCCAGGCTCCAACACGCCTCACAGGCAATGCCCGTTACACACCCACTTCCCCAGCTTCTCCTCATCTCGCCCCTGGAAGTTCCCTGACTCCTCCAAGGTCAAGGGGAAATCCCCAGCATGGAAGCAGAGGAGAGGAAAGGGTGCCCCTGCCATCCTCCTTAAAACCCCCCCCGCCCAGACGCCCATTCTCCTGCACTGGTCAGCACAGGAGGGCTGGCCTTCCTCTCCTCTCCCGTGGCTCCTGAGAGCACGTGCCTGGGGCCAGGGGAGCGTGGCGGGGGGAGGTACTCACAGCCACCAGCCCGTTGTGACCTGCAATGACACGGGAGGGGAGGAGAGCAGCTCGGTCAGCAGGCAGACAGACACGCTCCCTGGTCCTGTGGTCCCCCATCCCTGCCCCGTGTCCGGGAAGACGCTGGAGAGGGAGCAGAAACCTGGGCTCCCCCTAAACCTGCTCCTGGATGTCAGACCAGCATCCAGCCTGAGCCCGATGCCAGGAGACTCCTGGTCTGTGGGGTCAGAAACCCCGGTTCTCGCCCTGGCTTGGAAGATGCCTTTCGCCCAGCGTGGCCAGGGGCTCCGTGCTGGACCGAGGGGCACGGAGTCCACGCTCACCAGAGAAAGCCATTCCGTGAAGCCTCGTGTCCCGGAGCTTCCTCACGCGGGATGAGGGGCCACTGTCGGGGGAATGTCGCAGGGAGCAGGAGGGAAACGTGCGCGGATGCTGGAGGTCCCTGTCCGGCCCAGGCTCAGCGCTGCCCAGGTTGTGTTGGTTGTGGGACGGGTGCTCTCCTGGCTCCTTCTGCCACGTGTGGCTCACAGCAGTGGCCCAGAAGGCTGTAGGCACATGGCTTTGTGCTTGTCGCCCTCAGTGCTCCCAAAGTACAATCAGCACAGTGCAAAGGCGGGAATTAAACTCTACTGGTCCCATGTGTGCCGCGGCAGCTTCAGGGAGCCTGGGGATCCGTAAATTTACCCGCTTTACCCTTCAAACCGCAGAAACCCTGAACTTGGCTTGGGAGCCCGGGTCCATACCAAGACCCTGGTAGAAGCACTGCCCCAGTTTTGTGAATGCCGACTCCCAGTGCCCTGGCCAGAGTGTATCCAGCAGGCTGGTGGCTGGGCCTGGTACGGGCCTCGCACTCCCAGGTCATTCTGTCGCAGGTGGTCCCGCGGCCGAGCGGCCTCCTCTCTCCTTAGTTTCAGGAGAAGGTGCAGCTGCTGATGGAGAATCCCCGTTGGGCACAGAACAGGCCCCGGCAGCCATTTCCAGGAAGGAGGCAGGCCATAGTCTGGACCGCTGGGCCTGTGTCTGTCCTTGGTGATAAAAGGCCGCTCTGCATCTTTGAAGATGTGAGCTGACTGTCCTCTGAGCACCAACCGGAAACCTCTGTTGACTCAAATAAAATGCTCAACTGATAATTTCACAAACATCCACGAAGAGGGGAGCAGCAGTGACCCACGTGATGGGTTTCTTCACAGCTGAGCTGATTTTAAATTTTCCACACAGAGACTCCCGGAGTCAATGACCTCTAATTGAGCCGACCTCTCACCCGCTCACGAAATCCCTTCTCAAACCTCTCCAACTGGGATCGGTGGGAAGAAATCATCTCACACGCTGGCCTGGCACACCTCCACCTGCAAGCGTCTTCACAGAACAAACATGAACTGACATCAACTCTTAGCATGTGACAAGCAGGTGCTGAGCTGTTAGATAATATTTTACTTTTTACAAATGCTGGTGGATATACTATTTTTACACACTTTTGAAAAATTCTCCCAAGAAAGTTTAAAAAACATTGCTGGATGGGACTCATGAATGGTTGCCACCTGTGTTTGAAAAGCCCTGCTCTGAAATGCATACACCTGCCAGGCCGCTGTCCTGGCTCAGCCTGGCTCCTGCTAGTTCCCGGCCACGGTCCCGAGAGCCAGGGTCCCGGCCACGAGCCTTGTGCTTCCTCATGTGCGAAATGGAGGATGCTGGGAGCCTGGCCGTGTTGCAGAGAAAACAACCAGTGACATATGGAAAGCCTAGCAGGCCCACAGCAAATGGTAGCTATCTGTTCTTTAATTCGTACTGATGGTGAATCTTGGAAAACTAATAAAGGCTTCTGGGCAACTAGGTTCCAGTTCAGTCATCACAGAGAAGCACAGACATACCTCAGGTGACAGAAGTGTGGGATCCGACATCCCAGAACACTCCTCCTGACACCCTTCACCCCAGTCCTGTCTGAGCCGTTCTGTGGCTTCTGGGGACCTCCCCCTGCCTCCTGAAGTGGCCTGAAGCTGCCGGCAGGTTCAGCTGATCCCCACGCCCGACTCCTGGGCTCGCAGGGCTCCACGGAGAAGCTGCTCTGAACAAGGGCCCTTGAACGGGTGGCCGCAGCTGCCTGCACTCCGTGTGCCGGTCAGACACGCGGACCTCCGGAGCCACCTTCAATCCCAGAATCCTAATTGCCAGGCCCAGTGCCCGTCCTGCCTTTTAACCAGCTCCTGGGCCTTCTTAGGCACTCGGAGGCCGCTGACTACATCTTCGAGGGGGCTCCCCGCTCCTGGTGTGGCTTCAGGGATGCAGAGATGGGGCTGAGAGCCAACATCCCTGCCAGGAAACAGCTTGGTGAGCTGTCGTCATGGACGGAGAGAGGCAGAGGCCCTCGCGGAGGCTGAGAGAGCGGGCGCTTCCATTTATTGAGCTGTCTGTCAGTGGGGGCTGGAGCTGGCTGCCCCAGCCCGGGAAGTGTGTGAGTGGTTGTCAAAACAGCCAGTTAAACATTCACTTACATGCACTTACAATGAAAGAAATTAAAGACAAAGGCAATCAGTACTCCATACTGTCACTTCCTGATTATTGTGTATGTCTTAGTATGATCTATGCTCTTGTAGTAATCACCTCTGTGCATCCACACGGGGCCATGCTAGGTAACGGTGGGCCGCTGTGAATCCCACCCAGACTCACATCCAGGGCACCATTTGGTAACTTGTAAAAGGCCATGGCGAGAGCACGTACCCCGAGGACCAGCCGGCATTACATGGCGGGCTCGGTTCATTATTCTGTTGATGGACTTAAGTGATGGAGAAAATGCTAATTACGCAGGTGAAACTCAACAGCGTGTTGTGTTCATAGCTGTAGCTTCGTGAAAAGCACAAAAAATGGAGGAATGCTCTCCCAGTGTCAAAAAGCTTCACTCCATCCAGTCCCATCACTGAAGAAGTAAAGTTTGGACATAAATCTTCGTTGTCTCACTTAGTTCACTTTTGTTCTCTTTAAACTAAATGAAAACATCACACCACATTTTTTTGGAACTATCCTCATTTGTCAAGTGCAACTGTAGGTTGGCTACTGAGTTTGGCGAACATCACAGAAATTCGGTGAGAATCAGTGGGGCACCTGGAACGTAGAGAGCCGTTATTTTTTCTGTGAAAAGTGTGCTCCGTTGCTTTTCTCTCAGCATCGCTACCAAGCTGATGCATGGGTGTGTTTGCACACGTGTTCCCTGGAGGGGTGGCTGTTAAACATTGACGGCACACGGCTGCTCCCAGTACCTACAAACTGACAAAACACGGTGCGGCTTTAAAGCTGAGGGGCGTGTCCTCCTTCCGGTCCTGTGGTCGTCTCGCTGTATAAACGCAGTTGAAAATAATGTCATAAGTTGAAACTCAGGCCCTCTGTGAGTGTGAGTGGCAGGCCTGAGGGAAGGCCGTCTGCCAGGCACCTGGTGGGGATGGGGCTCTGAGCCCCAGACCAGCAGGACCGGTTGTTGCCGATTCCACACCCATGTGTGCTCGGCAGCGGCGCTGTCGCCCTCTGCGGACACGCACAGCACCTCTGAGACTCGTTTTTGTGGTTTCCTAACTCCCCTTCGTGCACCGATCCCGGTTTCCGCTGGGGTTGGGAGGCCTCAGAGGCTGTGGCGACCAGGACTCGGGCCCTTGCAGTGGCTGGACTTCACCCTCTGTCGTTGCAGGGCTTTCTTCCTAGCCCGTAGGTAACGTGTGCTTTTCAGGCGGTGGTGGCCACCGGCAAATCCCTCAGGGGACGGAATGGCCTAGTCCTCCTCCTCGTTGTAGATGGGAAGACCCAAGCCCAGAGGGCAAGAATCTGCCCCAAACCACCCAGCCAATCTACCCCCGAACCAGCCCCAGGACTCGGCGCCTGCTGGCAGATGGTGGCTTCCCCCACAGCCCCTGCTCCCTTTCGCCCCCATCCCTGGCCTGCCTGTGCCCAGAAAACGGGGGAGGCTGGGAGGGGGTCCCTCCAGGCCTGTGAGCGGAGCTGCCCTCCCGCCCTCAGCGCGGGCTCAGCCGCTTTACCTGCTCCTATCACCACCGCATCGTACTCTGGCTTCAGGCGCCCTGCGGCCTCCCAGTGGGCTGGTCTCCGTGGAGGACAGGGACAGGCCCTCAGGGCCCTGCGGAGGCCTCGGCCACTCGCAGCCATGTCTGCTCAGCACTCTCAGTAATCTGCTTGTGGTCAGCTTTTGGTGCCTCCTCAGGGGGTGGGGAGCCAGGAAGAGCAGGGAGAGAGGAGGAGCTGCAGGCCTGTTGTCTCACCTGGCCTGGGGCCAGGACTAAAGGGAAGCTGAGCTGCACGCCCCTCCCCCTCCGAGTCCACCAGGGGCAGCGCTGTGGAGGTGCCTTTACAGCCGGCAGAGCGCCCGCGGCCTCCGGGGAGTACCCTCTGTGCTGGTGATCCTCCAGGCTCCCGTGAACCAGGCTGTGCTGACCAGTCCTGGAGCCCCTCACGTAAGCCCCAGCACTCCCCTTACAGCCCGGGCACTGAGGCTCAGAGGTGGTGTGAGGCCTCTGTGCTGTCCGGCTTCTCAGGCAGGAATGGCCTGTCTGGCAGGTGCTGGGTGGGACATCTAAGGACAGACTCACTCGGGTTTGACGGCCTCTAGCTCTGACCTGCCAGCCTGTGGGGCGGCGAACCCCTCGGGAGCCGCTGGCCCAACACCCCCTCCCATGGCCCTGCTCCGGCCTCAGCAGCGCTGCAGGGAGGGCCGCTCCTGCGCGGGCGCCCTCTTCTCAACACTCAACAGGCCGTGACGGCCGCTTGGGGGCCGGTTCACTCGTCCGGAATTGTTGGGTTCACCTTTTCCTTTTGAAGGCCTGGACGTCTCCCTTGTCTTTTGGCTCCTTCCCCAAGAATCCCCAGGGAATAAAGGCCACATCTGTCAATACCACTGGCTAATGTGCCTTATTACCACCCTCCGGCCTGTCTTGAATTGGGAGCCCCTTGGTCCCTGGCCCCTTGGCGTGCCTTGTAGGAAGCACCACCCCAGGAGCCAGGAGTGTGTACTGCTCTGACAGGTTGCCGTAACCTGATGCCGGAAAAAACTCCCCCCACAATCGGGAGAATGTGTGGGAAAGTGCCCCAAGGGATGGGCATCTTCTGGGGACCCTCCTCCTCACAGAGCCCCTCACAGGCACAGCCCCTGCACCCCCTGCGAGGCTCTGCCGAAACCCCGGGACGCTTCCCTGCCGCAGACAGAGGGGGTTGGGGGAGGACTGGTTGGACCGAGTACGTGTCAGTGCACAGCGGCTAAAATTTAAGGGGGATATTAGGGACGAAAGTGGGGGGGCTGCCAGACTGTTTCCCCTTGTGCTCTTCTGTTTTCCACAACCAGCGTTTTGAATGTCCATTCACTGCAGCAGTCCATTCCTGCTCGCTCTGTCCCTCCCTGCCCCCTTCTGAGCACCTTGACAGGGTGTGGCTCTAGTCCTGTGCCCTCAGGCTGCTCCCTGCGGGAAAGAGCAGCCTGGGCATGAGTCCTGGCTCCAGATGGCACTCTCAGGAGGGGCTTGGGTCTGCGGAAGCCGCTGTGCGCTGGGCACCGACCTCTGCAGCTCCTCCGAGGTCTTCCGCCCCCCGGGGTGGGAGCTCCTGGGTTGGAGGCTGCACCCCGGGCGCTGGTTCTCAAACCTGGGCCCACCAGGATCGCCAGGGAGCTCTGACAAGCCTCCAGGCCTGGGGGCCCTGGATCTCTGGGTGGGGCTAGGGCAGGAGCAGGAGCCCTGTGGGCACCCAGAGGCCAGGACCTGCCAGGGTTTCTAGGCACCAAGAAGGCCCAGGGGCCAGGCGCGTTAGCTTGGACAGGACCAATGACCGCAACCAGCGTTTATTGAGCTCCTCTCGTGCCCAGCAGCCCTCACACACGCCCTGAAAGGGAGGGCTGTCGCCCACACGTGGGGGGCCCACTCAGAGCTGCCGAGAGGGAAGTGGCAGAGCTGGAACCCAGCCAGGGAGCACCTGTCATCCGGGGAGGGAAAGAGCTTCCCCAGGGAGCTCTCCCCGCCTCGGAAAGAGGCGGAGGATAGGCGTCCTCAGACACGCTGTCTCCTGAGATACACGGAGGCAGCTCTGACCTGCAGCCACTGCTGTAGTAGAGACAAAGGAACCTCCTGGCCCCAGCTTCCTCCAGACAGAAGCTTCTGGGGGTTTGGTCACTGCCTGGCCTGGAGGCTGCTTTAGGTGGGGTTTTTTAAAGAAATCCTGGGGTGGGGTGAGGGTGGGGAGAAGGGAACAGAGGAAAACAAACAAAAGAAACAGAAGAAATCCTGGAGCTGCCCTGGGCCTGTCCGTCCTCCGGTGGACAGGCTCTGTGGCGGGAGGGGGTGGGGTGGAGAACCAGGTGCACTGCGGCTGCCTAGAGCAGGGGGACCTGGGAGGACTCCCACAGGCGTCGGGCCAGCTCGCCCGCCTGCTGCACCAGCACGTCTACGGGGATGACTGACAGGTGCAGGGCCAGCAGCTCGTGACACTTGACGACCTCGGCCGGGTGGTCCTTGCTGTAGTAGCGCAGGAGCTTCCTGGGGGGGGGGGGGGGGGAAGAGTGGGACAGGATTCAGAAGCAGCCACGGCACTCCCCCCACTGCCCCGACCCTCCCCCGGAGCCTTGCAGACAGTCCCCTCACCAGTGCCAGCACCAGGCCAGCAGGTCTTCCCTTGCTGACCTCACCGTGTGAGGCCAGCCCCAGCCTGCCTCAGTCCATCCCTCCAGTTCCCCATCCTGGGTGGGGCCTGCTGACGGCGGCATCCTAATTAGAGCCACAGAGCCAGCAGGGAAGTCCCGGGGCCCCAGCACAGCTGTTTGCAAAGGCTGCCACGAGGGTGACAACGGCAAGATGGGCGGGAACCCTAATGTTTCTCACTCCCTTTCTCATCGCGAGGAGCCTCCAACAAGGGTCTAGGCAGGCATCCTCAAACTTTTTAAAGTGGGGGCCAGATCACGGTCCCTCAGAGAGCTGGAGGGCCGGACTATATGAACTACTAATTCCTACTGTAACACCTCGGCTGCGCTCACTGCCCAAAAAACCTGGCGGGCCGGATCAGACTCCTCTGCGGGCCGCATGTGGCCCGCGGGCCGTAGTTTGAAGACGCCTGAAGGCTCCCAGGGTGCGGGGGCACCTTGAGGTAGAAGCTGCTCCCCCATGTGGGAACGGCTACTTATCACCCAACCTCTGTGCGCCCGCAGCCCCAGCCGGGAGCACAGATCTGTCACCTGTAGTAGTCTCCTCCCAGCATGCCCACGGGCGCCGCGTCATCGGAGAGGACAGGCACCTCGGTTATCTGGAGTTTGTGCCCCTGGGGAAGAGGAAGGTCTGGCTCAGAGCGGCGGAGGGTGTGGTAGGAGGAACGTGTGGGCCAGACACACCGGGCTCAGCCCTGCCGGGTGTGTGCCTGGTGCTGGGAAGACCCGGACCTCTTTGTACTGTTCCCATCTGTGAATGGGGATGTAAAAGCTCCAACGAGCAGCAGAGACGATGGGTATGAAGTTACGAGCATCATGCCTGGCACATGAGGAGCTGGGTCACATGTCAGGAGGGCCACTGGGAGGTGCCCTGGGCGGTGCCACGAAGAGCAAAGCATTCCCAAAGACCTGTCTCTGACGGCACCGGGGACTCTCAGGGTCGTATGGGGAGGGGGCGGGAATGGAGGTCCACTGGGCGCCCGCTGTGTGCCAGGCCCAGGCACGGGGCCTGCCCAGCACTGAGGAGGCCGGACTTCACTTGGCCGGACTTCACACTAGGCCTCCTCCCCCTCGGCTTTACCTTAGTCCCGTGGTCGGCAAACCGCAGCTCGAAAGCCACATGCAGTTCTTTGGCCCCTTGAGTGTGGCTCTTCCACAAAATACCATGGTCTGGGTGAGTCTATTTTGAAGAAGTGGCACTGGCACCACGGACAGCGGGCAGTCTCGGTGGCCCTTCTTCACAAGGGGCCAAAGAGCCGCATGTGGCTTGCAAGCCGCAGTTTGGTCATACACACCCAGGAGGTTCTGAGACACAGAGCAAAGATGGGAGCCTGCCGGCCAAAAGAGCCGAGCCTGGGCTCTGGCGGCATCGCCTATGGCCTCAGTGACCAGCTGTGGGGCTTAGTCTCCAGACCGTGAGCTTCTCCAGTGCAGACTGGGTCAACGATGCCGGCCTCACCCACCGCACAGGGCTGTGCGGCTGTGGGAACGGTGGTGAGACACTCCGACAACTTCACTGAGAAAAGGGACGGGCCACTGCGTCAGGGTCGCCTCTCACCAAGAGCAGAGAAGAGAGTAGGGGACAAGGGGACAAGGGGGACAAGGGGGACAGGAGAACAGGGACCGAGGGCATGTGGGGGGGGGGGGGGGAAGAAATGGCCTTTAGGAAGCTGGAATAATGATTAACGGTGACAAATGAGGAGAAAACAAAGAGAAACAGAAAAGGAAAAGGTGGGGGAGGGAAGGAGAACTAGAGGGGCAGGGAGGGAGAGGAAGACACGGGGACAGCAGAGACAACCACCTTGCAGCCATGTCCGTACACTGCAGTCACAGTGAGGTCTAGAGAACCAGCCAAGAGGCAAGAGGCCCAAGCTATACTGTCAGCTGTGCCTTGGGCAGGCTGGTTCGTCGCTTTGAGCCTCAGTTTATCCACCTGCACAATGGGAACAACGGTGTGCCACGCTGTGTACGTGCAGTGGGTGATGCTGGGGCATCACCGAGGATGCACACGGTCTAAGCGGCCTCTCTCACATGGGGCCAGCGTCCCCCTGTTCGCACGTTACCTGAAGGTACTAAACACTGCCTTGAACAGCAGCTGGGCGGAGGGTCGCAGGGCTGGTGGGAAAGGGACATCGGAGTTCTGGGTCTCAATCAGCTGTGCTCATCTGTGAGCTCCAGCGGGGACAAGAAGGATGAAGGGGCAGCCTGCGCACCGTCCGGAGAGAGGAATGGGAGTCCCCAGCGAGGCACCCACCGTCTCGTTCTGGAACCACAGGAAGTAGGAGCAGAAGAAGTCCCCCTCCCGGAACAGCAGCGTGGTGTAGCCCTTCTGCAGGTATCTGCGCGCCCGCCGGATCAGAGACCACACCTGGGGGAGAGGAGGAGAGCTGGTCAGAGACCACACCTGGGGGAGAGGAGGAGAGCTGGTCAGAGACCACACCTGGGGGAGAGGAGGAGAGCTGGTCAGAGACCACACCTGGGGGAGAGGAGGAGAGCTGGTCAGAGACCACACCTGGGGGAGAGGAGGAGAGCTGGTCAGAGACCACACCAGGGGGAGAGGAGGAGAGCTGGTCAGAGACCACACCAGGGGGAGAGGAGGAGAGCTGGTCAGAGACCACACCTGGGGGAGAGGAGGAGAGCTGGTCAGAGACCACACCTGGGGGAGAGGAGGAGAGCTGGTCAGAGACCACACCTGGGGGAGAGGAAGAGAGCTGGTCAGAGACCACACCTGGGGGAGAGGAGGAGAGCTGGTCAGAGACCACACCTGGGGGGAGAGGAGGAGAACTGGTCAGAGACCACACCTGGGGGAGAGGAGGAGAGCTGGTCAGAGACCACACCTGGGGGGAGAGGAGGAGAGCTGGTCAGAGACCACACCTGGGGGGAGAGGAGGAGAGCTGGTCAGAGACCACACCTGGGGGGAGAGGAGGAGAGCTGGTCAGAGACCACACCTGGGGGAGAGGAGGAGAGCTGGTCAGAGACCACACCTGGGGGAGAGGAGGAGAGCTGGTCAGAGACCACACCTGGGGGAGAGGAGGAGAGCTGGTCAGAGACCACACCTGGGGGAGAGGAGGAGAGCTGGTCAGAGACCACACCTGGGGGAGAGGAGGGCAGCCTCGGTGGCCCTCTCCCCGCGGCAGGGGCAGGGGCAGGGGCAGGGCCGGGGGGCAGGAAGTACCCGGAGGAGAAGGAGCTGCCTCTTCTGCTCTTCTCTCCCCGGTGCCCAGGCACAGCCTGGCTCGGGGCAGGAGCTCAGTAACAGTTCCCGCTGGCTACCCCTCCAGTTCCCGTGACGATAAAATAGATGCGAAAGCACTTTATATCCTGTTACCAGACGCTCCGGCTATAAATGAGTAAATGCACCATTCAGGCCAAAGACAACGTCAACACAGGAGGAGACCAAGGGGTGGCCTCCTGGAACCCCTCCTGCCGTCTGGGGCTGCCCCTCCCGGGTCCTCTCCCGGCTGGGAGCCTCCGACGTGAGTTCTAGGCCGGGAAGGTGTTGGTGAGGTGTTTGAGCTCGCAGGGCACCGTGACCCAGCACCTCTGCTCCGGGGGCCGGGTCCTAAGGAGGCCCACCAAGGGGTCTGATGGGAATGTGCCCGCGGACTACGCAACGTAGGTCCCGCCACGTTCTCTGGCCTCATTCCAGGACGTCCTGATGCTGCTGTGAGCTGAGGGGCGGCAGCGGGGACAGCCTGGGCTGGGGGAAGGCCTGACGGGCCCTCTCACTGAAAGCCTGAGTGGAAGGCCCCCGGGATCCACTCCGAACCTGACCACAACGCAATGTCTAATTAAATCTGCAAACAAACGCCATGGATTTGCTTTGTTTTCAGGAAAGCAGCTTGACAACATGTATCAATAACCTTAAAAACATTCCTCCCACTTGACTTAGTCATTCCATTTCTGGGAATCCACGGAGCGAAAGTAATCAAGAGGTGAGGACAAAGACGGATGCACACAGGTGTGTGCCTCGGAATTATTTATAGCTGCGAAAGCCTGGAACAATCTCCATGCTCGGCATCGGGGAAATGGCTAAGTAAATTATGTTACACTCCCGTGATGGACTGTTGTGGAGCTGTTAAAAAATCATGTTTATAAAGAATTAATGACATACGGAAATGCACCGACATAAAAGTGAAAATGTGGTAAACACAATTGCATAGACAGAAAGCGCTCAACTACATCAAACTGCACAGGAAAACAAGGGAATAAATGCACCATGAGAGCCCGACTATCTCTGGAGAGAGGGATGGAGACGGAGAAGATGATGATGGTGGTGATGATGGTGGTACCAGCAAATACGCAGTCAGTTCTCTCTGTTGCGTTGCACACGGTGCTGAGTCCTGTATGTGCGTCTATAATATGTGTTAATAGTGCCACTACTATCCTCTTTCACAAACGAGGAAACAGAACGAAGGCTGAGCAGCGCCCCAGCCACACGGTGGGAACCGGGTTTCAGCACAGGCCCCCAGACGTCCATCTGCTCTGAGCCTTTGGGCCACACTGTACTTGGGTGGAAAAGTGGGTGTGTCTCTGTGTGCACATAGTGTAGAAGGTGAACGAGGTCATCCCTTCTCCCGACTCTGAGTATGAGATGCCACGAAGAAGAGTCAGTTAAAGAGAATAAAAGAATCCCCAGAGAATGTTTCCTTAGCAGAAACCATCTAGCTTTAGGTCTGACGGTCAGGTTGGCTAAGCTGTGTTTCTTCTTTGTTTTGTTTAACTCAACAAACAGTACTTACTGGACACCTATTAGTGCCAGCCCCCGGGCCGGCCCTGGCCACCTCTTCCCCTGGCCTCTGTTTAATCCAGGACATTGGCCAACACCCAGGAAGATGCCCCCTGCACTGAGCAAGGCTGATCAGGGCCCGGGGGTGACAGACAAGCTGCTCTGAGGCGCCTGCGGGGTTAGGATAGGTGCCGACAGAGGAAGAGCTCCAGAGCCCGGGAGCCCCACCCCTCCCAGGCAGGGCCGAGGCCAGCACGTCCTGTCCGCGGGGCAGGGAAGTGCCCGGATGGGCGGCGGTTACCTTGGTTCTGACGAAGGCAGCCAGGGGCCCCTTGCCCAGCTCCGAGGAGGTCCGTTCACCGTGGCTGAGAGAGGGGGCCACCATCTGGCCGGTCGTGCGGTCCACGTAGATGAAGTGCACCAGGCCCGGGAAGTCCTCCAGGTAGGTTCAGGCAGAGTCAAGGTGCCGTAAGCCTCAGCCAGGGAGGCGCTGTCCCTGACCCGGTTCCCCGGGCTCAGCAGTGGAGCCAGAGGCAGCCGGCCAGGGCTGCCCCTCTCCCAGTGAACCCCCAGGACACTCTCCCCCAGACCCCTCTTTACCTCCAAACCCAAACCCCAGAAAGTCCTAAGATGCAAGTACAATGGATCCCCGACGTTGGCACAGTTAACATGGGGAGCTCTGGCTGCAACAGGAACCCGGTGTGTTCATGTTTTATGATTTTCACAAGGGACACATTTAAATTATACACACGATGAGGCTGGCGGAGAGGAGAGCCGCATGGGTGCTGGGTGAGCCTAGCTGACCGCCACCCGCACACCTCGCCGTGTCTGTTCGCCTCTCACCTCGAGAGGCTGGAAGGCTGGGATCAGACCCCCTGGTGGGCAGTGGCTGGCGCCCTGCTGTCCCTCCCACCTGCACTCTGGAGACAGACGCTGCCGGGGGCTGGAGACCAGACCCTTCCGAGATTTTCACGTAGGTAACGCTGCTTTATACCACGTTCCAGGGACGATCAACGCTCAGTACAACTAGTGGTCCGTAACAAAAGGGTCTAACAGATCTGGGACGTGGTTTCTAAAACACGTTTGTGCAGGCCTTCTCAGAGCCACCCTGTTCTGCTGTGACCCGTGACCTCCGAGGAGGACGACATGGCTCTCATACCGACCCGTCCCCAGCACCCCTGCTCCTGGAGGAATGCCCGTCACCACTCTGCTGGTGGGACAGCACCGACAGGGGTGAACGCTAAGGCTCTTACGAAGTCACTCTGGGACACCAGGGGCTGCTGGAATTTCAGCCTTGGGGGCGTTCCTGCAGACAGAAACCTGAAACTGCTGCCTGTTTCTCAGAGAAAAGAAACTGAGGCGATGGGATATATAATCTCCATCCCACAGACACAGTCCTTCGGAGAGGGCAGGCGGAGGGACAGGCGGGCAGGGGCGGCTCCCGGGGGGCGTGGGGCTCAGACGTGAGGATATGACACCATGGTGACGTTCCTCCTGCTCTTCACCAGCAGGAAGTCCTTCCAGTCCATCAGCTTCTCTCTGCGGGAGGGCAGGGAGCGGGGGTGTGGGGACGTGGGCCCCCTCCCGCCCCGGCCCCCCAGGGCCCCCCACACTCACTGCATGAGCATCTGGACCTGGTCCTGCAGGTGCCGGGCCAGCTGCGGGCCCCCGCGGCTCGGGGCCGAGCTCAGGAAGCTCAGGCGGTAGATGGCGCAGAGCTGCCGCTTCATCTTCCCGCACAGCTGGAGCAGCCTGGCCGGGAGAGGGCGTCACAGGGGCGGGGCCCGGGAGAAGACACTGGCCCTGGGGGCTACCCGGGCCTGCGCCGACAGACACAGCGGGGACAGCGCTGCGTCCTGCACGGTCACCCCGCACTGACGGCAGACGTGGCTGATGGAGCGTGCCTCCCCCTCATGGCCCCTGGAGTAGCTTCCTCCCCAGGGTCTCCCAACACGGAGCTCCATGCACCTGGACGCAGTTCATGGAATTGGGTCCAACGTCATGGCTTATTTCCCCACAAAGAGAGGGGTAACGGGTTCGAGGCTGCACTGAAGCAGAGCTGAAGCTGGGCTGGAACCCGGGCAGAGTGTCCCTGGTGTTGGGTCCTCGTGGGCCTGCACCCAGACTCCAGCCAATCTGCTCCCAAACCTCCCTCCGGCGTCCGCAGCTGTACCCGCTCTCCCAGGACCCCGTCCCCTCAGAGGCACCTTCCTGAACACTCCCCCTCTTGGCCTGGAGGCAACTGGCCCCTCTGTCCAACCTGCGCCCCCACCCAGAACCCACAACTCACTCCTGCGACGAGGCGGGGTCACTTTTGGAGAAGGCCTTGGTCTTGAACTCCTGCCAGGTGCTCTGCAGGAGGGCAGGGGCAGGGGACTGGTCAGCCCCCTGGTGGTGTTCCCACAGTGAGGCCAGGCTCCGAGGGCTTCCTCTGGAGGCTTCCTGAGGCCCCCAGCTCTCTGCACCCGCTGCACACCATGCTCTACACTTGGCAGGTGCTCATTTCAAAAGCACATCCGTGGGCCAAGTGCTGGGCCCACTGCCTGGCTGGCACAGACACGCACACCAATGCTGCCAGGGCAGGTAAGTCACTGGAGGGGGCACTGACGCTGAGAGGAGCCTGGGCGTCACCCTGCAGAGGACCCTGCACCTGAGGCAGTGCCACCGCGATGCCGGCGTCACTGAGAGATGCTGAGCAGCTTCCGGCTGCTCCGGTGGAGACTCTGGGCCTGGGTCTGGGTTTCACGGACTCGGCCTCCTCCAATCCAATCCTTCTGCCCAATTCCAGGTCAACTGTGCGCAGCCAGTGACGCGCAGATCCTCTCCCTGACCCAGCCTCCACCCCACTTCCTGCTGGGCTCCCCTCCCCCAGGCCCTGTCCCTGTCTCTAAGCCACCGGAGGTGGAGGAGGGGTGAAGGGGGGCAAGTGGCCTGTGAGACCTGCCCCCCAGTGAGGGCGCCGGGCACAGACGGCCTATCCTGAGTCCTGGGCTCTGGCTCCCCAAGTAATCCTGGCCAAGTTGAGATCTAAGTCCCACAGTTCCCTGCTCTGAAAAATGGGAATTATAACCTGTGTTCTGCTAAACTTACTTAAACACGCTCTGAAAATGTCAATGCCGAAGTTTTTGCTACAACTTCCTGACGAGGAGCAAGGATGGCAGCCCTGTGGTGGGCGGGCGAAGGCGACTGACAGCCCTCCGCCGGGGCCCGCCCCCCCCCTCCCCGGAGGCAGGCCTGTGGGGCCCCGGCCTCACCTGAAGCTCCTGCCTCCCTCGGGTCTTGACAAACTTGTCCATCCGCTGGCGCAGGTCCCCGAGGAGCGGGTGGGAGCGCAGGCAGCCCCGGGCCTCCGGCCCCTCCCTCAGCTTCCTCTCCAGCAGCGAAAAGCCGTCCAGCAGCTGGTACAGGGCCAGGGCCAGCGGCGCGCTGGGGATCTGGGGGAAGAGAGCGGGCAGGGGCCGGGCAGGGGCCGGGCAGCAGGGGCCGGCGCCCAGGCCAGGGCAGGTGGGGCGCCCCTACCTTGGTCAGCAGCACCATGTTGATGCCCGGCCACAGGGGCAGGCAGTACATGGTGTGGGGCACCATGGGGCAGTACACCTCTTTCACACTGGCATCCAGGAAAATCCGCCGGGGGCAGGAGGGCGCTGGGGAGCCAGGGATCAGCATCTGGAGTGTGTCTTCTCCTATCTGTGGAGGGAGAGGGGCTGTGGTGGGAGGGGCAGGGGGCCCGGCTGGCCTCCTCCCCGTCCTGGACCCACCCACAGGGGCCCATCCGCCATCCTCCCTGTGAGCCACGAGGAGCCGGAGCCGGTTCAGCTCCAGGAAGTCCTGCTCTCCCATCCCCGCACTGTGCCTGTTCCAGCGTCTGTCTCTCCCTCAGCTTCTCCGGGCCTTTCCGCCCAGAGGCAGGGCTGGATGCCACTCGGGGGTGGTGTGTAGAGAAGAGGCAGAAAAGGCAGGAAAAACAGACCAGGGTGGACTGAGGGCAAGAGGCGCCCTCCCCAGGTCTTCATAGAGAGGAAGGCATTGAAAGTTAAGTAAGTCTGTCATTTCAACCACCTCAGAGTGCCCACCGGGGGAAACCAAGGCACTGAAGGACCACAGGAGCGAGACTCCAGGCTCACTGAGGCCCTAAGAAAGCCTGTGGTGGGGAAAGCTGAGAAGTGAGGAACCCGTTAGAGATGCCTCCCTGTAAGGAGGCTCTGCAGTCCTAGGATAACAGCGGATGCGGACACAGTGGCTGCGGTTTGCTAAGTAAGCGAAGGCACGCGTGGTGGGCTCACAGTGCCGACCACACTGCTGAGGTGGCCTCGCAAAGGAGAAGACGCTCAAGGCAAAGTGTAATGAGACACGCTAGGAAAGGAAAAAAACATGCATGTAGCGTGCGTGTGCGCGCGCGCGCGCGCGCGCGCGCGTGTGTGTGTGTGTGTGTGTGTGTGTGTCTGTGTGTACTGAGGGAGAGCAGTCCTTTTCCATACTTTACTTTTGTCTTTCCCAGCTTTTCTACAATGAATATATTTACATTTTCATCTTAAAAAAACGTTTCAAATTGAGTTGGACTTTCACTCTCCAATGAGGAGTGGGGATTTCTCAGGAGCTGAGGTCTCCCTCCACTCCCCGCCCTCCACCCCCCGCCAGCCTGGCCTGGGGCTGAGCTGTCCTGGCATCGACAGCCCGGAGGTGGCAGGCGTCACTCAGAGATAAACCTCGGAGTCCCCGAGGATCACTGCAGCATCTAGGTCAGCTGGTACCCCGGGCCATCCCCTCCCCCGAAAACTCACCTGGATCAGGGAATCATCTGTGGGTGGGGTTCCCCCGTCCATCCAGATGGTGCTATCTGCAGGCCACAGGTGATGAAATAACATAAATAATTAGAAATTATAAATAATGGCGCAACAGCACACCAGAAGGGCGGGTGGAGCAGGAATGTCTCCCCCGCCTCCCCAGCTACTCGCACACCCCTGGCTGGGGGAGCACTTAGCATGGGCTGGGGGAGCACTTAGCATGGGCTGGAGCTGCACTGCCCTTCCCAAGCCTTCCAACGCAGGGAACTCTGCGGTCCCAGGGCCTGGCCTGGGAAGAGACGCTCCCCCAGAGCCCGGTGCTGGGAGCAGGTGCCGGAAGGTGCACCTGGCAATGAGGGGGCATGTCCCTCAGCCCCCTCCTTCCCTCTTGCTTCTGCCCCTTCAGGCCCCTTCCTGGCTGTAACAGTGACTGGCCACTAGGAGGCAGCACACAGTCCATGTTTCCCCATCTGTTAGTCAATCAGCAAACTTTTACTGAGCACCCACCTACCCTGTGCTGGGATCGGAGCTAGATGTCCCTCCCCAGGACAGCTCACAAAAGCCCACGGAACCTACCGCACCTTGGAAATGCTGTATGTGTGTAACAATAGTGTTCTCTCAGTTTACTGCAAACAACTATCACTTATCACCGTGTTTCTCTGGGGGACGTCTGCTCCTGGGTCTCACGCACCGGACTGACAAATGGACCAGTGCACCGGAGCCCTGTGTAAGCCGTGATTCTGTGCCCTGCAGAACGGCGTCCCTGACACCGCCGAGGCTAAAACACGGACTGCCCCCGAGAGAAAGGGGGGGAGGAGGATCTGGAGGAGTGAGGGGAGGGCATGTCAGGGGCCACTCCAGGGGGTGCTTCCCGCTGTGCTCTGGGCTCTCGGAGAGGCGGAGAGGACAGCCGTGGGCCTGGCCTCAGAGAAACGTGTGAGCGTACGTGAACGGGGACACGCCCTCGGTGGCTGGGCTCCCTGCAGCCCATCCCAGGACCCAAAGTTAAGAACTGCTAACCCCGTGGCTTTTAACTGTGGCCGCACACGAGACCTTTTAAAAATCCCGACGCCTAGGCCCCGGAGTAGTCTAATTAAATAAAGTAAATTTTTCCTTTATTTCTGTTGTTTACACAGGTCAGATATAAACTACAGAGACTGGATCTTTATATTTTAAATCACTGCGCTTGAAATCAAATGATGACTACTTAATTTTAATTACCTGATTACTTAGTAATTACAAAAAAGAGAGAGAAAGCAGAGAATACACATACGAGAGAATGAATTTCTAAGTGGAATCGGTGTGTCGTGGACAGTTTAGTGATCACGTGAGTGGCCTGCACAGCCCTGAATTCCAGCTGGAGCCAGGCGGGCAGACGGAGTCCCGTACTCTAGAAATCTGGGTGTCTGTGCCTAGGCCCTTACAAGACAGGGGTCCACTGAACCCCCAGACACACTCCCCAAGGCTGCCGCCTGGCATCTGTCTCCCCCCTCCACGGCCCCTCCCCCACAGGTCTCACCTGAACCTGAACTCCGCTCCCCGGGGGAAGGAGCGGGGGTGAAGTACTCCTCGGGGAGGGAGCTGTCTGTCTCCTGGGGAAGAAGGGGCAGCTTGGCTGAGGGCTCCCCCTGCTCTCCCCCCCCCCCCCCGCTCCTCCCCGCAGGCACAAGGCACGTACAGTCCCCGTGGAGCTCCGGGTGGGGCCTGCGGAACCGGGGCTCCAGGCCTGCTGCACGGGGATGTTCTGGCTGCTCGGCAGCCTCCGAAGGGAAGGCTGCGACAGGACAGGACAGTGGTTAGAGCCCGTCTGACGGGCTCCTCCCACGATCCTCCACTCCCAGCTCTTCCCAGTCGGCCATTGGGCAGAGGCACAGGTGCGACCGGCTCCCAGCGTGGCCTCCCTTCCCAGGCACGTCTCGGGTCTGGGTGGTCTAGTCTTTCCCCAGAACCACTGCCGTTCCCTCACGCTGACACCAGACCACGGACGAGCAGGAGGATGGGATGGTGGGGGTACACGTACAGAGAGTCCCCCCCTCGCCAGGCACTGCTGGGCTCTAGTCCCTGCCTCCTTTATTCCTCAAAGCCACCCTGAGAGGTAGTCATCGCTGCCCCATGGCACAGATAAGGCAACTGAGGCTCAGAAGGAGTGAGTATCTGCCCGTCCACATCGCTGATGGGGAAGCAGGGACTACCTGACTCCAGAAAGCTGCACTTTTAACCACGTGCATTCCAGAACTCTCCTTCTAGAAAGCAGCAGGAAAGGCCTGCCCAGCCACCAGCCCAGAACTGAGACTCAGGAACCCCGGCCTCCGCAGCAGCCTGCCGGCCCCCCCGCGGACGGGTTTTCCTCGCATCCCCGATGGCTCCCAGCTGCCCAGAGGCTGCCCGAGACCTGAGTGTCATCACCATCGTCCTCCTGGCTGGGGTAGAGGTCCTGCACCAGCAGGATGAGGGCCAGCAGGTCGGCGGGGCGCAGGGAGCTGGCACTGTGGCTGCAGAGAGAGCAGGCGGCTGGTCAGCATGTGCCCAGGGCCCTGGGGGGCAGCGGACGAGGACAGGGCGGGTTATAGAGATGGGCCGTGGTCCCAGCCCTCAAGGAGTTTACGACTGCGCCAGCTGATTCCCCCCCGTTCTGGAGAAAGGCGGTGCAGATAAAACTCAAACTTGGCTGTGTTAAAAACAACCATCAATGGGAACCGCCAGGGACCAGGAAGTCCTAAATTCGGAGTCTGAGAGAGGATTCCCGGGAGCAGGACTTCAGAGAGAGACTGGGCTGCGAGGGCTGAGGAATCTAAGAATGTGAGAAGCTGCAGGAGAGAGACAGGCGGGTCTTAGAGGTTTCCTTGGCCCGGGAGGTGTGCCTGGCAGACGGGGTGACGGAGGGGCCGGGGCCTGGCCACCGGGGGGCGTCCACAGCTGTGGACCGGCCGGGGAGGGTGTCACTGTTCTGACCGGGGGAGAGGGAGGACAGGCCTCCGCACCGGGCCGCGCTCACCTGGAGTAGAAGGCCAGCAGCTTGGAGTGCACCAGCAGGAAGGCGTGCAGCGCCTCCTCGCCGGCCCGCGCGGGGCTGGTGTTCACGGCCTGGACCACGTGCTGCTCCAGCGCCTCGATGCACAGCTCGCAGAGCTGCGGGTGGATGAGCCGCTCCACGGCCTGGCCCCGCGGGCGGGCGGGAGAGGAGCCGCGTCACCCGCCGCCCGCTCCCGCCCCGGCCCTGCACTGAGCACAGACGCTTGGGAACAGAACCGGGAGCTCAGACCAGCACGGACCCTGGCTGAGTTTGGGGGGGGTCGGCCTGTGCCCTCACTTGTTAGAGGGATCGGAGCCTGGTCTCACGGCGGGCGGCACGGCCCCTCTGACCTGACCCTCCCCGGCCCCGGGACCCGCGCCCGCGTCACCTCCACGGCGAAGCCCTGCTCCCGCTCGCGCAGGCGGCCGTGGGTGCGCAGCAGGCTCTGGAAGTGCTCCCACACCTGGACGCGCTGCTCCACGTCGGGGGGCCGCAGCCTGGGGAGAGCACGGGGGGCGTGAGCAAGCTGTGTCCCCACGGCAACCGCGGGGCGCAGTCCCAGATCCCTGTGACCTGACAAGTAACAGGCGAGAGGCACGGAGGCCGTGCTGGGGCCATGGCCCGGGCGGGGAGAGGGGTGCTGGGCAGGAACCGGGTGGCGCCTGAGATGAGAAAGCCGCTGCCTTTCCCGGCTCTCACACGCAGAGGTGACAGGACCCGGGCTAGAGGCCCAGAGAAGCGCAGGGAGGAGCTGGGGGCACCGTGTGCACACTGTCCGGCCTCAGGAGGGCGCTGAGCCAACGCCGGGGCGGACCGGCCGCGGGGACTCACTCCTTCCGGATGAGCTGGCCGTCCGCGGTGACCAGCCCGAAGTGCACCTCGAACAGGAACTTGAGCACCCGCAGCTTCTGCCGCAGGTCCCCCTCGGCCTCCGAGCGGTCGCCGTTGATGGCGATGAACAGGCATTCTCCGAACTGCGGGCACAGCCGGCTGACGTCAGCCAGCCCCGGGGGCGCCCCTCACCTGCCCGGACCCCGGGGAACGGCGAGGGGACGATCAGGTGCAGGGGGGTACCGACCAGACCGCCCTCGGAGTCAGGGAAGGGGAGCCTGGGCCCCGGGGCCCCACGCCCACCAGGTGAAGGACGAAGAGGGAGCTGCCGTTCTCCGTGGAGAAGCAGGTGTACGTGTCGGAGAGCTTCTCCAGCATCGTCATGGAGGAGATGATGACCGGGGCCAGGAGGGTGCTGAGCTGGTCCTCCAGGGCAGGGAGCTGCGAGAGGGGAGAAGACCCTGCTCGAGTGTGCCAGACACGAGGACAGAGAGATGGACAGAGCCGGCCTGGCCACCAGGGGTGTCCACAGCCTTAGACCTGCCGGGGAGGGTGTCACTGTTCTGACCGGAGGGGGCGGAAAGACACTGCCTCCAAACCTGGGTGCGGTTAGGAAGGCCGGGAGGGGCTGGCCCTGAAGGTGGAAGGGAACGCGAAGGGAGGCGGCCATGTTTCCAGTGTGCGGTACCTGGGCGCCTGGTGGAGAGCTGGCCAGCGGGGGGAGCACTGGCGGCACGGACACAGCCGTGCCCTCTGCAGCGGGGGGCCTGCTGGGGGCGACGCAGCCGAGGAAAGTGGTCAGAGAGCGGGCACAGACCCAGGTGCGCACATGTTCACTACTGCATCGTTCATAGTAGCCGGCAACTGGGGGACAGGGAAGTGTCCAGTGCCAGAGGGACATTAAATAAATAACAGCTCGTCTAAATGATGGAAGAATAGACAGCCACTTAAAGTAGTGGAGTGTTTCAATGATGTGGAACATTCCTCTGATACAATGTTATGTTTAAAAGAAAACAAAAGTGTGGTCCGACTGGTTGAGCATCCACCCATAAAACGGGAGGTCGCGGTTCGATGCCCTGTCCGGCCACACGCCAGGGTTGTAGACTGGATCCCTAGCAGGGGACGTGCAGGAGGCAGCGATAATTCTCTCTCCTTATTGATGATTCTCTCTCCCCCTCTCCCTGCCTCACTCTGAAATCAATAACAACATATACATATATTTTTTTAAAAAAAGGTGTGAAATTCTGTATCTTAAACTGTATAAAAAGCATTAAAATATTAAAAAAGTCAATACTGTTAAATTTATTACTTCTGAACAGAGGGACCTGTGAGTGATTCTTCCTACTCTTTATATAATTCTCCTCCCGTTTCCACAACAAGCATAATTTTACTTTCATAAGCTCTCCCCCCAACTCTCTCCCCTCATTCTCTCTGCAATCCCAACTAAGAAACAAAACAAAAAAGAGAAGGACACGTTAGTAGAGAATCTGCGAACAGAATGGGATAAGGCCAGCGGAAGGACCACAGCTGAAATTCACACTGGAACCCAAGGAAGGGAGAAGCACGCTGGCCGGCCCCAGCTGATGCTGGATCTGACTGCAATGTGGAGAAGGCAGGGTCCTGACCGGGAGCTGGTGAGATCTATAAGGAGCTAAGGAAGCCCTCGGCAGGAGAAGCGAAACAGGCCGCTGGCTAGAGGCCGGGGGCAGCATTAACGTATGAGTTGGGCGCAGCGCGCGGCTGATTTTCTCCCAACGTCCTCCACATCAGGAGCCACGGTCTGTGCCCAGCGGCTGCAGAACCTGCCGGTGAAGCTTAGACAGTGGCTGCTTCTCATCATTCAGGTCCCAACTCAAGACAGCCTCTCACCCAACCATGCCCAGGCCACCCTGTCCCAGTCACTCCCCATCTCACACCTGGTGTAAGCGTTTCTGACCATCCATCACTCCCTGAACTCATGGTGCTTCCTTGGTTCACTGTATGTCATCCCTTTTTGCCCTCTAAGTCCGTGAGAGCAAGGTCTCATTCACTGCTCTACCTCCAGAGACCGGCACAAAAGAGGTTCTCAATTCATATTTGTCTGAATATCCTTCCAGATAGGCAAATGTTGAATTATTCACGTGCCATAATTTTCTAGAACTGTCATGAATGAATTATGTTAACAGGAAAAGTCACTTAAAAATCTAGAGTGTGTATAGCCATTCATGTTAAAAATAGTAGTTTTTTCTGCAGGTGTAGCCAGAATTTTTGGGAGGAGATAAAAATCTTTGGTGTAGCCGAGTGTAAAGGGACATTCTCATACTAGTTGGTAGAATTACAGAGTGGTACACTCTCTTTGAATGGTTTCTGTTCTTAGGAATCTATCCCAAGGAAGTAGTAAGATGTGAGGTAAAATTCAAGCACAAGTTCCCTACAGTCATAGTTACAGAAAACTAGAAGTGCTATGCAAGCCAGCATTGAGGAAATAGTTAAATAAATGCATGCATTTATTCATACGCAGGAATATGTTTCCAAGAACATTTATGCTTTTGAGAATATTTAACAAAATGGAATAAGCTTTAGATATGATGGTAAGTGAAAGAAACAGAAAATAAAACTGTAAATATGGCATGATCCCAACTATATATAGGGTCTGCTAAGCCACACCGCCTGGCTGCTGTGGCTCAGTAGACTGAGCATTGTCCTATGCACCGACAAGTTGCTGGTTCAGTTCCCAGTCAGGGCACATGCCTGGGTTGCGGGCTCAATTCCCAGTGTGGGGCCTGCAGGAGGCAGCTGATCAGTGATGATCTTTCATCATTGATGTTTCTCTGAAGTCAATGGAAATATATTGAAATAAGTAAAGTAAATAAAATGTAGAGTGGAAAATATATGAGTAAAAATAATAATCTGAGTTTTAAAATTGAATGTTCATATGCAAAAAAGAAAATTACTTTAATCTATACCTGATACCATATTTAAAAAAATTCAAAATGGATCATTAGACCTAATATAGAACCTAAAACTATAAAATTTCTGGAAGAAAATACCAGGAGAACTCTTTGTGATCTTAGGTTGGGCAAAGATTTCTTAGATATAGCATCAAAAGCATGATCCATAAAAGCAAAAAAAAAGATAAATTTAAATTATCAAAATGGATGCAAAGATAAGACACAAATTGGAAGAAAATACCTACAAAACATCTATCTCCTTGGATTTACATCCACAACACATTAAGAAACTCTCAAAACTCAATAAAAATAACAATCAACCCAATAAACTGGCAATAGATTTGTACAGTTCATTAAAGAAGATATAAGAATGGCCAATAAGCACATGAAAAGATACACAAAATCATTAGTCATTAAGGAAATGAAAATTAACACACAACGAGATTCTGTCATGAACAAATTACATTAATAGAAAAGTCACTTTCTATCAGATACCGATCAGAGAGACTCAACACATTTATTGTACAAAGAGTGACCACAGAGGGGCCAGCAGGCTACCGAGGACATGGAAGTCTCCCATTCTACCAGGGGACTGTTAAATGGCACAACCTTGTGAGGAAAGCTGGGCGGCAGCCTCTTAAAAAGTTCAACATACACCGACACGATCCAGCCACACTCCCCTAGGGAGCCAGTGAAAGCTGCTCTACGTGGAAGTAAAAACTGGGAACATCCTGCATGCTGCTCCCACCAGCAGGTACGTGGCTGAACCACCAGTGGCTCAGGGTGAGAACAGACCACGGCTCAGCCATGGAAGGGGGAGAACTGCTGAGACACACACAGTGCAAGGGGGCGAGTCTCAGTCAGGCCGCGTGAAGGAAGCCAGACCAGACCAGACCAAACCAAACCCAAACCCAAACCCAGCCTGGTATCTACTGCAAGATTTCATCGTAAAGGTCTACAAATACAAACCGGGCTATTATGTCAGAGAGCGGATCTGTGGTTGGTCTAGAGGGGGTCGGTGAAGGAAGCTCACAAATTTGGGGGGTGGTGGGTATTGCCCATTTTATTGATTGGATGGAATTGCAGACATGTACATATTAAAGTATATCAGACTGTACACTTTATGTTCAGATTATAGTTTGTCCATTATACCTTAATATAGCTGTCATAAAAAGTAACGTGTTAAGATGCTGCTGAACTTTTCAAGTAAAGAAAAGGGTAAGATCAAGTTTCCCTGCTGTGTGATTACAATTCTACATCCTCCTGCCCCCACTTAGCCAGTCAGCTCTGGGGGGAGGAAGGGGTGGGAGATGCGAAGACACACAGTCTCTGGCCCAGCCCTGGAGGGTGGACAGGTTCTCCTGCCGCCTGTCCTCCTGATAGCTCTGTTTTGTCCCCTCCCGTCCATCCCACACTCACCTCTTCTCCCTCATACTCCGACTGCCCAAACTTCAGCCGCAGACTCTCTTCAAACTCCTTGTCCGTCCAGTAGAAGAGGACCTCCGCTCCCTCTGTGGCCACCAAGACGCACTTCATCTGCCGGGGAGAAGCAAGGTCAAGGTTGCCTCCCGGCCCCCTCATCCTTCAGCTTGGCCTGAGTGATGAAGAGGATCGTGACCCCAGCAGAGGATTGTGAGCCCATGCTGTGCACCGGGCACCTTGGCCGGGGCCTCCTGGCGTTCTTTCTTCACACCCTCTCAGCCACCTGCTGAGACAGACACCTTCCGCCGAAACCCGTTTGGCTCAGTGGATAGAGTGTCGGTGTGCAGACTGAAGGGTTCCAGGTTCGATTCCGGTCAAGGGCATGTACATTGGTTGTGGGCACATCCCTGGTCGGGGGTGTGCAGGAGGCGGCTGGTCGATGATTCTTTCTCATCGACGTTTCTAGCTCTCTATCCCTCTCTCTTCCTCTCTGTGGAAAATCAACGAAATATATATTTTAAAAAAATAGACAGACACCTTCCGTTCCTCCCCTTACAGAGCACCCAGTGGCACGGCTTCAAGTGGCAGAGATGGGATCCTGTCTGACACTACGGCTGGGGCTCTTTCCTGGGTCTTCTGACCCTGGGCCTCTGGGACCAATCATGAGGAAGGTCCCAGCTGTCGATCTGGACGCGAGTCCACTGCACAGGGAGGCAGGCAGTCCCCGGGCGCACGGCAGACAGGGCCTGTGCAGGGACAGAGGGCGGCTGCTGGACCTCCCTCTGGGAAGTCCAGAGGTGTGTTTCTCCTCACACCAAAGAACAGCCACAAACGGCGCGCTTCGAAGCCCATCAGGATTGGATTCAGCACTACAGGAATTTCACTCACAAGTTCTTGCTCTGGGCGGGAAACAGAGGCTGCCTGACCTCGTCCACGTTCCTTCTCACACCTGCTTAGCTGCTGAGTCCGCAGCCACATCCTCCGTGTCTCTGGCCTCACTGAACCCCCTTCCCCCACCACCCACACATGTACCTTCTGTGCCACACATTTTAAGGCTTATTTACATAAAAGTGTGTTTTCTTATTCACCAACTGGTCGATTCTTAATTCGGAGCTCCCTGCACTGTGCCTTGGCCCCCTGGGTGCAGCAAGACGTCAACCCTCTCGACCTCGGAGAAGCCCACCCAAGCCTGGGAAGGCCAGACCTCTCAGGCTGGTGGGTGCAGCTCAGAACCCCAGAGAGGAACTTCAAACCTCATGCACCGCAGTGTGCCACGCGGACGTGATCACGTCGCACGTGTGCTAAGACATGACACGGGTTAGGAAGGAAGCTCTGAGTTTTCCATGAGTGGAGGCCCAGCTTCCTTAATAGGATCATAGCATCTCGAGGTCTCAGACTCTACGTAGGATCCCCTATCTGAGCAGCTTAGGGATCCTTACTGAATTCCCTCCAAATTTCCAGTTGGTTTATCAACTCTAACGCAGAGCACCTGGCCTCAAGGTGTCTCCAGCCCATCCCCACGGAATCGCTAAGCACCAGGCAGGGACTGCGAGAACACGGAGTGCGAAGAGGTTGCTGGATGAGGGCAGCTGGACCTGGAAGAGGCGCCGGGACTCCCGGGCCAGCCTGATGTGGGGTTGGGGTACAGTGAGCTATGGAATCAAGGCTGTGGTCACAGCACAGAGCCCCTGTAGGCTGGTAAGGCTGTGGGAAAGGCGTGCTGGCCATCGATGGGTGAGGTCAGGTTATGGAGGCAGGTCCTCTGGAGTAGGGTAATGAGGCCAGGAGAAGTGTAACCTAGAGACACAGCAGCAGACCCTGATGCCTGCCTGGATGCAAGGGAGGACGGAGAGAGTAGGCAAAGGTGAATTCAGGGGCTGAGGAGAGGGCTCTGCAGAGCCTGGGAGAGCTCCATCACTGCCTGCCTCGCTCTGTCCAGCTCCCTCAGCCTCAGAGTGGGTGCTGCCTGCCTCCGGCTGCCCCAGGTATGGCAGAATTATCTACCTTGGTACGGAGCACGGCAGAGCTTCCAGTCAGCCAGAGGTTCAGAAAGGGCTGCAGTGGACAGACCCTGCGACCAGCTCATGGAGAGCAGCATAACGTTCTGGGCCCTGCAAATGCTTAAAACAGAGAGGTCATGAGGGCAAGCAGTCCCGACTGTCCTAGTTCCTGGGAGTGGACAAGGTGGTGAAGGACTGTGAGGTCACAGCTCTGGCTCTGGCTCTGCAGAAGTCTGCTCAGAACATTTCCCACAACCAGGTGTCTGAGTGCCCTTGAAAATTAAAACCGGACATATAGCAGGAGCCCCACAAACATTAATTCCCACTACAGTTTCCTCCCAAGCATTCTCATATCTCTGTGGATCCTGCAGAGCCACGTGTGGTCAGCAAACCCACTCCAGTCCCAGGAAAAAGGAACCTGACACCTGGTTCTCGTTTTGGCTTTGCCAAGGCCCTTACACCTCCCAGGGCCTCAGACTCCCTGAGGGGGGGGGAACCCCTTGCTGCACTTCCCTATGAGGTTAGAGTGGGAGTGGGGGAGTCACGTGGCAGGAGGGCCCTTACAAGGAGGTGTGTGGGGAGGGTGTCTTTATTCTTATTCCCCAGGTGCCCTTCATCAAACAACAGGATGAACTAAATTGGTTGTAGATCATTCACATTTTGATGGTAAAAGGCAGGGGTAATATAAAGCTTTAGTTTAATTAGGATGAAGCAAGAAAGGGCTTTTAGAGGCTCAGCATTTTTTTTTTGCAACAGAACTGGGACTCGCTGCTACATCACAGGCATGCCTGGGCTTCATGCCGCATTCCCAGGAGCACGGGAATGTTTCTTGGTGAACATTAAGTTCTACTTTTGTTTTTCCAAAAGGCGGATAAGAGGCCCTCCCCAGTGTCATTCCCTGTTCTCTCTCCCTTGCGCTCAGGAGGGAACACCGGCCTCGATGGGACTCTGGCCCGCGCCCCTCACCCGGGGCCCATCTCACATCCACCCAGCAAGTGGCCACCCAGCAAGCGCGGTCTGGGCCGGCCTGGCCCCGCCGGGCCCGGGGCCAGGGGCGGGGGGCCGGGAGGAGGAGCCCGCGGGGCCCCCACCCCGCAGCCTTCCATCGGCCCCGCACTCTCCAGTCCGGGCAGCAGCGTCACCCCCAGAGCCCCTCGCACCTCGCAGCTACCCTGGGAAGAAGGCCGGGCTGGTGGAACCCGCCCACTTCGCGGCTGCAGAAACTTTGGCTCCGAGGAGTGCAGCGACGGGCTCCCGGCCACACGGGCGGGCGAGGCGGGGACGGGGCCCGCTCCCCTCTTCCGGGGGCCGCGCGCTCCCGAGGCAGGTCCGCCGCCCACGGAGCGGGCAGCCGAGGGCCGCGCCGGGACGGTCCGAGGGGCCCCCACGGGTCAGAGCGCCGCTCAGCCGGCCCCGCCCCGGGCGCGCTTCCGGGTGGGGCCACGTGACCACCCACGTGACCGCCTGCTCGGCCGCTCTGTGGGCGGTGCCGCTGGCCCGGGCGGGCTGCTCCGCGCTGGGAGCGCCGGCCCCTGCAGACCCCGGTCCCCTTCCTGTTGTCCTGGAGCAAGGAGATGAGGCTCCAAGGATTGGGGGCCTCGCCCCCAGCCCCCAGCGCTGCGCCCCGCACTGTGCTAAGCCCTCCCCCTGGCCTCAGTCCCTGCGATGCCCCATGGAGGCCCTAGGAACAGCCCCATTTAGCTTCATGTCACCCGAGCGGAAACTGAGGCCTAGAGATAACCACTTGCAGAGGGGCCCCGTTTGGGTGAGAACCAGGTTCCTGGTTCCAAGCCGGTCCTTTCCCACTGAGGGGCTTTACTTCTCAGCAAGAGCCGCTGGTTCCCTGGCCTCCTGGGGAGGGACCGGCTGCAGGAGGGCCCAGCTGCCCCCAGTGCCAGCCTCGGAATTTCTTAGTCCATGGGGGTGGTGGGGGGGAGGGAGAGAGGATTTCACATTAGCGACTTTGTTTTGAACCCGAGTTTGCAAGATTTTCTTAAATTATGTGTGTACTGCCAAAGCCGTTTTTGCTCAGTGGATAGAGCTTCAGCATGCGGACTGAAGGGTCCCAGGTTCGATTCTGATCAAGGGCATGTACCTTGGTTGTGGGCACATCCCCAGCAGGGGGTGTGCAGGAGGCAGCTGGTCGATGACTCTCTCTCATTGATGTTTCTAACTTTCTATCTCTCTCCCTTCCTCTCTGTAAAAGATCAATAAAATCTATTTTTTTAAAAAAATTGTGTGTGTACTGGAGGTGGGGAGAGCTGATAAAGGTTATGGAAGGTACTACATCCCCGCCCAAGTCACCCCTCAGTGTCCTGGAGTCTCGTAGGAGCTTTGAGTGCAGCCCAATAGGGGATGACTTTGAGGGAATGTGTAGGACACAGTAGAGCACACCCCCTCTGCCCCTCCCCGCCAAAGGCAGGGGCCAAGAATTAATGCCTCCTCCCCTTCCTCCATTCACTGCCATCCCTGGCAGCCCACCTCAGGGCCCAAACCCCCCATCTACGGCACGGAGCCCCATCGCAGGCATCTGCCTCCCGTCCATAGTCCACAGTCCAGGTCTTCGGGCTGTGCACTCCTTCTTCTGTTTTTTCCACTCACCATGTTTCTCTTTTGTGTCAAACCCTTCACAAGCATGCATTTCAGTGATTGAATACATCTCATCAAGTGGATATGCTATTTATTCTCCACCCCCCTCCCTCTAGTCCATTTCCCATCTGCCTTGTATGAGGGCTCCAATTTCTCTACGTGTTCGCCAAAGCTTGCTGTCGTTTTTTAACTTAGCCATCCTCAAGGGTGTGAAGTGGCATCTCATGATTTTTATTTGTATTTCTCTAATGCTAATGACATTCAGCATCTATTCATGTGCATGGCAGCAATTTATATGTCTTCTTTGGAAAAATGTCTATTCAAATCCATTGCTCATTTTAAAAATTGGGTTAATTCTCTTTTTATTATTAGTTGTAAGAGTTCTTTATATATTCCAGATACAAGTCCTTTATTTGATATATGATTTGCAAAATTTTTCTCCCATTATGTGTGTGTGTGTGTTTAAATGTTTATTGTTGCAAGTATTACGTATGTACCTCCTTTTTCCCCATTGACCTCTTCTAACCTGCCCTCACCACCCGCCCCAGGCCTTCACCATCCTATTGTCTCTGCCAGTGGACTATGAATATATGCATACAAGTTCTTTAGTTGACCTCTTCCTATCCACTCACCCACCCCCACCTTCCCTCTGAGATCCTTCAGTCTGTTCCATGCTTCTATGTCTCTGGATCTATTTTGTTCATTAGATTTCCTATATGAGTGAAATCATGTGATACTTGTCTTTCTCTGACTGACTTATTTCGCTTAGCATGATACTTTCCAGGTCTCTCCATGCTATCTCAAAGGGTAAGAGTTCCTTCTTTTTTTACTGCTGCATAGTATTCCATGGTATATATGTACCACAGCTTTTTTTATCCATTCATCTACTGATGGGCACTTGGGCTGTTTCCAGATTTTATTTTATTTTTAAAAATATATATTTTACTGATTTTTTACAGAAAGGAAGGAAGAGGGAGAGTTAGAAACATCGATGAGAGAGAAACATCGACCAGCTGCCTCTTACACACCCCCTACCGGGGATGTGCCCGCAACTAATGTACATGCCCTTGACCGGAATCAAACCTGGGACCTTTCAGGCTGCAGACTGATGCTCTACCACTGAGCCAAACCGGTTTTGGCTGTTTCCAGATTTTAGCTATTGTAAATTGTGCTGCTGTGAGCATAGGGGTGCAAAAATTCTTTCTGATTGGTATTTTGGGGTTTCTTTGGATATATTCCTAGGAGTGGGATCAAATGGCAATTCCATACTTAATTTTTTGAGGAAACTGCATACTGTTTTCCATAACGGGTCCACCAGTCTGCATTCCCACCCGCAATGTATTAGGATTCCCTTTTCTCCACATCCTAGCAAACACCTGTAATTTGTTGATTTGTTGATGGTAGCAATTCTGAGAGATGTGAGGTACTACCTTGTTTCAGTTTGCATCTCTCTGATGATCAGTGACTTTGAGCATTTTTTCATATGTCTCTTGGCCATGTGTATGTCCACTTTGGAGAAGTGTCTATTTAATCCTTTGTCTGTTTTTTAATTGGATTGTGCGGGGGCCTGATGCCGCGGGGGCCAGACGTGGCAGGGATCTCCCTTTTCCGAGTCTTATACAGAAAGAGAGATGAACGAACCGGTTCAGAGTGGAGGTAGCCAGGGATTGAGAAATATTAGAAATAAAGAGAGAAGACACAGAGACAGATTTTAAGCTGGGAGCTGGGTGGGCCGCCATACTGTCTGCTGGAGAGGCAGAAAGACGATGACCCCTCCCAGCGCATGTATTTTATACCCCCAATACCAGGAAGTAACACCAACTTATTTGCATTCTTAAATTGGCCCTACCATGCCTGGATGTATATATCTAGTCCCACCCCTGCCAACACCTGGGCTGATATGAAGGCCAAGCTGACAACATGTCCACCATCTTGGGGAAACATGTGCCCAAGGTGTGGCACTGGCTACACCTTGAGTTCAGCTGACGATAATTAAGGAAATTGCCCACGTGCCTTCCCACCCTACAGGATTGTTTGTCTTCCTTTTGTTAAGTTATATGAGTTCCTTGTATATTTTGGATATTAACCCTTTATCAGATGTACCATTGCCAAACACATTCTCCCTTTTCATTTTGTTGGTTTCTTTTGCTTTGCTGGAGCTTTTTGTTTTAATGTAGTCCCATTTGTTTCTTTTCTCCTTGGTTTCCTTTGCCTTAATAGGGGTGTCGAAGTCAATCAGAGAAGGGGCCAAAATCTAAAATCAAGCCTCAATCTCGGGCCGAATGGTTTACTGAATAGTCATAAACTGTCATTGTGATGGAAACGCAGCGGAGTGCAGTGATGACAGCGCGGTGCGGGCCACATTGCAAGGCCTGGCGGGACGGATTTGGCCCGTGGGCCTTGTGTTTGACACATGTGCCTTAGGAGATGTATCTGCACACATTGCTATGAGCGATGTTTGAGATTTTGTTGCCTAGATTTCCTCTAGGATTTTTATGGTTTCAGAGGGAATATAAAATGGTGCATGCACTTTGGAAAACAGTTCAACAGCTTAATATAAACTTAAACATACACTTACATGTAAGTCTTTTATCCATTTTGAATTTATTCTTATATATGGTATAAGTTGACGGTTTAATTTCATTTCTTTGCATGTGTCTGTCCCATTTCCCCAACATCATTTATTGAAGAGACTGCCTTGATCCCATTGTATCATCTTGCCTCCTTTGTCAAATATTGAGCGTAATGGCTTGGGTCGATTTATGGGGTCTCTGTTCTATTCCATTGATCTATATTCCTGTTCTTGTGCCAGTACCAGGCTGTTTTGATTACAGTGGGTTTGTAGTATAACTTGATATCTGGTATTATGATCCCTCCAACTTTGTTCTTCTTTCTCAAGATTGCTGCAGCTTTTTGGGATCTTTTTTGGTTCCATATAAATTTTTGGAGTATTTGTTCTAGATCTGTGAACCATTATGTGTTTTGTCTTTTTACTTATCACTTGTAGCACAAATGTTTTCAATTTTTATGTAATCCAATTTATCTATTTGTAATTATGTGCAGGCTTTTGTGTCAACCTGTTTTTATTTCACTTGGATAAACAGCTAGGAGTGGGATGGCGGGACCGTATGTAAAGTGTATGTTTAAGTTTATATTAAGCTGTTGAACTGTTTTCCAAAGTGCATGCACCATTTTATATTCCCTCTAAAATATTGAGAGTTTTAGTTGCTTTGTAGTCTCCTTCGCATTTGATACTGCCTTTTTGTAATTTTAGCCATTCTAGTAAGTATGTAGTTTTTATGTATGTTTCTCATTGTGGTTTTAATTTCCATTTTCCTAATGACTAATGATGCTGAAATCTTTTCATGTCCTTGTATCCCATCTATATGCTCTCTCTGGTAAAGTATTTAAATCATTTGCTTATTTTAAAAATTGGATTGTCTTGCTTATTAATTATATGATTTCTTTATATATTTGGATACAAATCCTTTAATAGATATTTATTTTGCACCTTTTTTTCCTGTCTATGTTTTTGTTTTTTCACTTTCCTCACAGGGTCTTTCTAAGAATAGAAATGTTTGTGCTTTTTTTGTGTACTGAGTAAAACATCGTTGCTTAAGCCAGGGTAACAAAGAGTTTATCCTGTGTTTTCTTCTAGATGTTTTATAAATTTAGGTTTTAACTTTATGTCTATGATCCATTTCAAGTTGATTTTTGTAGATAATGTGAGAGAAGGGTTCATTGTTTGCATATAAATATCCGTTTTTTTCTAGTTCCATTTGTTGAAAAAAATGTCCTTTCTCCACTGAATTATTTTGATACATTTATCTCATATTAGTTGTCCATATA